AAAAGGTGATAGAGGAAATATGGGTCCACCAGGATACCAAGGACTAACAGGGATGCCCGGAAGAAAGGGAGATAAAGGTCAACCAGGAGGAAATAAAGATCATGATAACATTGCATTTTCAGTTGGCCTAAGATTGCAGAGAAATGCTTTGAGCCCAGGTCAACCTATTAAATTCAATAATGTTTTTACTAATGAAAATAGTATATACGATATTAGGTCTGGCAAATTTGTTGCCAGTATTGATGGTATATACTTTTTCACATACCATTTAAGTATTTCAGGAAGGTCTCTCACTGTTGGTCTATTTCATAATGGTATTATAGCTCTGCAGACACAAGTAAAGCAACACGAACAAAGCATTTGTCAAACAACTGGATCCATAATACTTCGCCTACATGAAGATGATGAAATTTGGCTTCAGGTATTAAGCAGAACAGAAAACATCTTGGTAACTGAAGAAATTACAGATTCTGTATTTTCAGGATTTTTACTCTATCCTGAAGACTAGAACTTTTTAACCAGGTAATATTGAGCTTTTGTGTGTATATTTTTATTGAATTCTAGTAAGTAAACTATGGCTATATTTTGCATCATTGTGTAAGGTCAATAGAAGAAAGCAATGAACTCAAATAAATTATTCTCTGATTTAATTACTACACTTTACTTTTCATATAGACTAGTGATACCCATTGTCTTGCTCTGTACTGAATACATTATAATCTTTAATAACACATAATGATTTTCTAAGGAAAATATGGTTTACACTTCTTTACCAAAAAATACAAGTATGGGAATAATGCAAGAGCACTTTCATTTATCTACTTTTTGGCATATCTGTTTTATTATCAAATAAGAAATTTGATAAAAAGTCAGATTTTCAGAGGTTTGAGACTCTTCTAGTTCCCAGTTATGGTAAAGGACAGATATGACCTTTTCTTTCCAATCCGATGTCATGTAAACATAGTGTATCAGGAACTAATTTGTCACTGCTGTAGTGGTGGCTTATTTAGTTCACACCAGCGCACTTCACCATTCTCCTACAGAGTCCGTATGAATCACTCTCGGAATATATGCTGTTTTGAAATTACATTCAGTTCTTGACAATCAGCAAAATCCTGAATAGGTATGATACATGCTGTTTTGCAAATGCAGCAGCCAGTAAACTATATACGTAAACTATATATTGCTGATCATTTCACAATCAGTAAATAGAGAACATAGGCTGGCGGTACATTGAATTAATGTTTATATTATCAATGCACAAATACCTACTTATTCCTTTCATTTATCAAATGTCAGGTTCCTATATCTCCAGAAGATAGGATGTTCTCCTGGAATGCATTTTGTGCAGCTGATTAATTAGTGTTCTTTCTTGGAAGATCTGCAGGCTTATTTACTAACACATCACTGCAGATATTTACTCTGCAAACCTGCTGTGTATTACAATTATGAAGCACAATATGCATAATTACTAAATAAATATAAATTTAAAATTGCGTAAAAATTGTTGTAATGGACTTGTAACATTGTATTTCTCTAGTAAAATGTTAATTCGTAATGAAATATGTACTATGCTATTTTATGGTGATAAAAAAACAAATATTTTGTTGTTTTATTTTCTAGTTATATACGTTTTACTGAAAGATTTTCAGTATATTCATTTACAAATAGTTTGAATGAAACAAACCAAAAAAGGAGGAAGGGGGAACAAAAAAAAACAAAGAGGGGAGTAAAAAGGGGTAGAACATCCATCCAAATGTTCATGATCAAACAATGTAGTTATTACAAACAATAAACAATTGCACAATGTGTTATATATGTCATTTTTTTTTATTGCAGAAATACAAAGTAGTTTAGTGTTTATTTTTATTTTTTATTTTTTTATGAGCAACAATTATGTGTTAATAAACCCATCCTGGATATTGTATATATAAAAGGAGTTGAGTTGGTCTAAATGCAGCTCCAAAATAGAACAAGGACTCAAAGAGATTAACTTAGTGGTATAATGAGCATGCCAGTTAGAAAAATTTATTAGGCACAGGTGTTTGCACCTACTTCATTTAGGGGAACATAGTTCCCAATCTTGTATAGTAAAACTTGCATGTCAACTCACATTCTTTGACTAAAAGAGACAAAGACATTAGGAAAATAGATGTCTTTGGTCTCATAACACAAAATGGAAAAAAAAATGTATTCTTTATGTTATGTAATCATGTTTCCTGCTCATATGTGTATTTAACAGTAGGCAATATTCTTACGCAAAGAAAATTAACTTCATCACTCCCAACAATTTGTACACTTGTGTTAACTTTTGTTTTGCAATGTTCCAGCACCTATATTTACTGTGGAAAGAAACACATTTCTATGCCCGGGCTCTGTTCTGTTTCTCTGCATTTCAACATACTCTACCACAGGGGTACCCAATAGGTAGATCCCCAGATGTTATAGAACTACCGTGTCGATGATGCTTTATCATTCTTAAGCATTCTAAAGGCATGCAAACATTATGGGAGTTGTAGTTCTACAACATCTGGAGATCTACCTTTTGGGCACCCCCGCTGTACAGCAATCCTTGCTGGTCTTACTTTAACGATACATTCCAGCAACTGTGAAGAGTGCAGTAGGGATCTGAGCACTTTGAGTATACTACATGCAACATGCAACTGTACTTACTGTATATAAGTATTACTCCCATGAATTACCTTACTTTTAAATTCTTTTGACATGTTTAGGAAAATGCATTCCCAGAAATGTCACAAGTGCACTGCAAATACTCTCAAGCTGGGTATTTGTCTATTTTTATTTATCTATTTATTTGTTACTTTTATTGTATGTAATAGTTGTATTTCTACTTCTATTACAATATTTCACTCCCTTAGTAAAGTCTCTAGATCTCATTAATAATCTCTAAAATGTTTTGCCAGTATTCCTGTAATAGATGAACAAATTCATTTAAAAGTACAAATTTTAAATTTAAAAAAATTCATTTTTCTTTAGGTATATCTGAAGAGCAGTTGACACACACCATAGCTGTTTTATCCTACTTTTATGTGCTATGTGCTGTAACTTTATATCCATTTCAAGTAAACAATATGCAAATGGTGAAAGCAACTTGGTAGTGTCAGACCTGCATTAATGGGGCATTATATGGTGCTGATAATTGATTAACTGAAACACATGCCATGGCTATTTTCAGTCCCTGCATGAAACTGACATTAGGATAGGAAAGAGGGATAGTTTTGGATGCCAAACAGGGGCTTTCTCTCCAAGGTAGAAATGTTCATTAAGAATACTTCTGTTCTGATAAGTCTCATTCTGAGTAGATATGAGCCATCACACTGCACACAAGCACATACAGACATGGCTAATGTAACCGTAAACATTTGATTTGGCATAGTGAAGCCTATTAGGCCTGATGTGATTCTGCATAAGACGACTAAACATTGCATTTCGAGAGAAAGAGTCATCCATCATTGCAATTCTGTCACTTCAAATCTAGCAATGATATCTGCTGTATGCTCCTTGTATTGAATTGGAATGTATAATTATTTGGTTCTTTTTGTCGGAGGGTAAAGTAAGGCGATGCAACATACAGGAATGACGCACACAATATGTGCAGTAATCTACCACAGAATGTTACATGTCTAGAGCTATTACAATAGTAATGAGCATTTTATTTCCATACCTTTACGTTGACTAACGCATGTTATTCTGCACTTTTATTCAACCTAAAGATAACCATTATAAACACACACGCACATACACACAAACCTAGACAATGCTGCATTTATTTATTTTTTTCCAAGTAACATTCTTACTGCTTTTATTAGTTTGTGATTAATATTTGTAAAGCCTGGTCATAATGTTGGAAAAAAATTTATGTAATGGAGAAACTAATATATGGTTGTGCAACACCAGGATTGGCTGTATATGCTAGATGCTCTTAATAAAAAGCATTCTGGTCCGTTTACTAAACAGCCAGCTGTTGCAAACTTATTTTAAGAAAAATGATGTACAAATATGGGGTAGCTTTTTTTTTAAACTTGAGTTTTTCAGTCTAAATGTTGCAAGTGTGGGTCTGAAATTATCATAACCTGCTATTAAGTGAATTACTTCTAATCGACCAATCACATAAAGCATTATCTATGAATGGAGAAGTGTGATTTGTGTACTCGGTTGCATTTTAGTGATGCATCTTGATACCATGTCTGTTATCTATGTTAAATATTTGTCTCACCTGCACAGGTCCCTACTATCCCCCTTTGTCAGAAGTCTCAAAATGTGTTGGGTGCTCTAACACTTTTTTTAATTGACAAAGACAACTATATAATTACAAGAGAGAACACTTCAATACATTTTGAGCCCCAGATGAAGCCCCATAAGTTAAAGTACAATGTATCACAAATCAAATATTTTACTACACAAAAATAAACAGCATGTAATTTTAAATAAAATGTATTAATCTTAAAGCTCACCATCAATAACTATAAATGAACACTAATGTTAAAAATAAACATACCAAATATCTAAATACATGGGAATGTTTAAAAATCATTCTTTTTGTGGAACTTTTTATTTATTTATGTGTCACCTTTTGAGCACTACTGCATCATTTAGTGCAGGATTTTAGAGTACCACAAAAATCTCCATTAATTTTTTTAATTGAATTCTACATACACAAAATAAAATGAGAGCCAGTGAGCCAGTGAGAAAATGACATATTGCCATCACTTATTTCATGTCTATTGCAGTGTTTCCCACGTGTATTTCGCTTAAAACCTCTTGCTCATTGTCTGGGAAGTGGATAGAAAGTGGTCCCTTGACCTGGAGAAAGTCAGCCAAGACATTTGCATTGCCTCACGTTTCACTTTAATTCACACTTCTTTTTTAAGAGCTATCCAATCACAGATTTTGTAATGCTAACCATGCACATCCCATTGGCTTTAAAAACAATGACGAAAGCAATTAAATAGATTGATTCCAGGTAGAAACCATGACAGGTGATATTCAAGAACACTATTCATGATAAAAGCAAAGGTATAAGGTAAGAGATAATGCGTTTGCTTGCAGTTAATGTTATTTTTCTTGTCCAGTAATGGTTAAAACAGAATATTCAAGTGAATGACTGGTTAGCATTAGTAATGACTATAATTGTTGAATAGCATTAGAAAAGCTTATTTCATACAACGTGCTTGTACAGCAATTGGGAAAAAAAACTATTCTTTCACAAAGTACAAAGTGTGTGACTGGCAAGGCTGAACACTGTGTTTTAGTTGTAATAATATATGCCACTATAAACTGAGTGATTATAAGGTAAAAGCAGACTTTGTTTACTGGTGGAGCAGAAATTGGTCATTTTCAAATGCAGGCATATTAAAAAAGACAATTAACACTAAAAATATTAAAGATAATTAAGAAAGAAAATATAACTAAAGAATAGAAGATTAGAAGAAAAGTAGGGCGCAAGGTTTTTTTTTGGGGTGCCCATGCACATAATGCATAATATAGGGCCAAATGCTACTCCCTCTCCTATTTTGGCTCCCACTTGCAAATTGTATCAGTGTGGGTTAGTAGGTTATCTAGCTGAAGACAAAAATCACGTACTTTAGTTGTGTTTGTGTAAACCTCCATACCAATGGAGCAAAAATGTGATTTCTTTAAGTTGTGATTTTTAGGTAATAGGTAGAAGATAAAATACATTATATTTAGACTGATAAAAAATCTAATTTGTGACTAATAATAAAATATTTGCTTTCTGAAAAGAAAATAATATACACTTGTTATGTGCTGCATATGTTTATGAAACCTGTTGTACATGACTATAAGAAGTGGTAGAATCTACCATGTTGAAGAATGTCTAGGATGTTCATAAGACCACATTCCTTCACAGTGAAAGAATTTTGCATGCAAATAGAACACATATTCCTAATCTTTTTCTGCAGTAAATGCAGTTTGGGCAAAGTATTTAGAGATATATTTTTTTTTTTGAGAAATGAACACTAAGCTTTATTTATTTTTAGAGACTCTTGTCCTCGACAATAGTTTGAAGTCCTTGGTACTGTGTGATCACCTTTTAATTGCTTCTTTGCAGTTGTCATACATAAACTCCACATCTGTTCTTCAGACCCTGTTACAAAGTGGATCAGTAATCAGTGCTGAGAGTTCCATTCATGTTTGTTCTCCAGGGTAACAGTTTATCGCAAAGCTGATCAATTTCACCTCTCATTATCAAAGGAACATGCCGTTCATTCCAGATTGAATTAATGGTGCCATAGTAAGACACATACAGTACCATTTAGTTAACCTTGAATACATTTCTGTTCAATTTAATAGAAGTTAATGCGCTTGGAAATTTGTATAAGCGAAAGTAACGTGCTAACGTAGTAAGATGATAAGGAGATTTCTGTAACCCCAACGACCTACGTTAATGAAACTGGAGAGACAGTTTTGTGACGATAAGAAAAACACATGCAAAATAGATTGAGAACTAAAACTCTTAGCATCAAGAGTGTGCCAAATTGGTTTGCAAATAAATAAATAGACAATGGTCATTTGGGGAATTTTTAGAACGTTGATTGGATTCTTTTGAAAAAATGAATATTTGCTAGATATGGGCATAACATTTTAGTTTGTTAAAGGTGCAGATCAAGACACAACAGATCGGTTTTGATCAGATATCCGGTGAGCTTTGACACACTATATAAGAAATAAATATTATATTACTATTATTTAGTATTAACAACATTGTGACAATAATGAGTTAGTGAATCAGTTGGTTGCTAGTTGCCGGCAAATTTTCCAATCACACGTGTACTGGGCTTATGTTACAGTCCATTTTATTTTGAACGTGTATGATACAGTTAAAAAAATATATATACTGTATATTGCAGTACTTCTTGCTATTTATATTTTTTCACAGCTATAAGCATATGCAAACAATTAATTTCTGCTCTACCAGCAACATGAATACACATTATTTGTTTTGCTTTACATTACAATGTAAAATTAAGTATATTAAAATAACCATCATTTTAAACCTTGACTCCTGGACTGTTCCTCATCCAGATAAGAAACAAACTAGTAAGTCAGAGCTTTGTTCAATTTCCCTGCTTTGTGCAAAAGGGGTGATTGCCAAACCCCCTCTCCAGCATTACATATCAACATACATAATTTAATGACAGTACTTTTCTTTAACTGAGTCCATATAGACAAGGGAGTAAAAATGAGCACTGCTGTAATCGTTTTCTATGAACTTTGAAATGTTGAACACTGTTTTAGTCAAACACATGTATTTACTGTATGTGGATATTGTTCCACCATTCAATTATCCTTATGTGTTCTTCTTTGCCATTTTTGTTTCATTTAAGGTACACAATATAGTCTTTAATGTTTTCCAAATAATAAAAAAAAAACACCTACATCCATGGGTTGAAAGTGTTAGCATGCCAATGAAATCAGTTTAGTAGTTTTGTCTGAACCATATGTACAATGTGAGTACTCACTGTTCTGGAGTTCCATAGGGTTAGGTCAGTCCCAGATAATAAAAGCATAAATGTATACAGGGAAAGCTAAATATAAGATCCATATATTTTATTCACCCCATATGGCTATTAAAATCCCAAATACATAACGGAAAAGTGCAACCATGCTTAAATCATATCAAAGTGCCTTTTAATAGTTCAAACCTTAAGCTTGACTGCCACTGTCTACTCGTTTTCATAGTCTTTAATAGCCCAATGGGGTGGATAGACTACATGCATTTTATATTTTAGTCTTGTTCCTGTTTATATTTAATATTTTCCACCCCACATTCTGCAAATGTACATAATTTAAATTTTTAGATATCCTTGATTGACCATATCTTGAAATGTATCATGTGTTGTCCTTAATATTGTGCTAACCATGTATCCCTTTTTCCAAACAAATGTTACATACATATTTATATATATATATATATATATCTATATATATATATATAGATATATATATATCTATATATATATATATATATATTTATGCGCGCGTGTGCGTGTATGCAACATTTATTTGGAAAAAGGGATACATGGTTAGCTATAATCCTACTCATCTGCTATAAATTGGTTTGCAATTAGAAGCCAGACTGAGTAATTTATTGCTTAGTAGTAAAAAGGGATAGAAAATAGCAAAAAGGGATATATATAAAAGGGATATAGATATATATATCTCCCTTTTTACTACTAAGCAATAATATTAAAATACTCAGTCTAACTTCTAATTGCAAACCATGTTATGTCAAATGAGTAGGATTACTAGATAGCTGAGCCCTACATGAAAAATATGTACTCTGCCCCTTTCAAATTTCATTACATATATGTTATACACACATACACACACACACACACACACACATATATGTTTCCCTCCTCCAGATACATATCACTTTTTCACAATTATTTAATATAAAAAAACCTAACACATTTAGTCTGCCCATTAATTTTCAGAGAGATTTATGGTTTTCAGATAAAGTTTATGCAAACCTCTAGCATTTATTTTCTAACTGTTATAGGCTTTACTGCTTCTCATGGAATTTTGTTCCATGTATATACTAGATTTTCTGTAAGGTAGTGTTGAGTCACATCGACCATACTTCCACCATAGAGAGAACGATTAAATTTATACTAAGAATTTATTTATTATAAAATACTGCTCAGCTGTATTTCCTTGCACACAATGTAGACCGCACACACAATCTTAAACCTGAGATTTTCTAGGAAAACACACTTCCATTTGCTGTTGGCATATATCAAATACCTGGTAATGCACCCCCTGGGTCTCGCTTTCTTGTACGAGCTAAACTGACACTCAACCCAACAACCTTAACCTTGGTAATTGCTTGAGTAGTCGAGTATTTACAATGACTGGGATTGTTCTCAGGTATTGAGGTATTTTGATAAAAGCAAGATGCTTTTGAAATGGAAAGTCAATGGAAAGGAATTTGCATTGGACAATCGCTAGTTCTCAAGTTCTAAGACGTTAAAATGCTGCTGAACTCTACTACGAAACATCTGAACTTTCTACCTTTTAGGTATTGTTGTGTTTATGGCACAGGTTTGTTACATAGCATTTCCTATTGTAATGCCGACGCTATGATCTTCTTCTAGATGTACATGCAGATGAAGGTCCATATTTCACTTGCAGGGCTGGAGTTCAGAAATGGTCAAATTCAATGAAATAGCTATTGTTCTGATTACAAAAGGAAATGGTTTCATTGCCCTAGAAAGTACACTATTCATTACAGTGTACGCTGAATTCTTGAAAGAGCACTTCTCAGAATTTCTTCACGTTTAACATATGAATGTTTGCAAATTATTTACTGGTTTAAGACAGCAACCTATACATAGCAAGACACTAAATCTCCATCTCACACATTTGTATTTTGAGTTCTTTCATGGATCTCTGTAAATTCAAATATTAACCCCTTAGTGACCAGGCCGTTTTTCAAAATTCTTGCCGCTGGGACCAAGGCTCTCTTTACATTTCTGTGGTGTTTGTGTTTAACTGTAATTTTCCTCTTACTCATTTACTGTACTCACACATATTACATATTGTTTTTCTCGCCATTAAATGGTCTTTCTAACGATACCATTATTTTCATCATATCATAAAATGTACTATAAAAAATATATATAAAATATGATGAAAAAAAACACACTTTTTCGAACTTTGACCCCCAAAATCTGTTACGCATCTAAAACTGCCAAAAAACCACCCATGCTAAATAGTTTCTAAATTTTGTACTGAGTTTAGAAATTCTCAATGTTAGCATGTTCTTAGCTTTTTTGGAAAGTTATAGGGCTATAAGCACAAGTAGCACTTTGCTATTTCCAAACCAATTTGTTTTCAAAATTAACACAAGTTACATTGTAACACTGATATCTGTCAGGAATCCCCGAATAACCCTTCACATGTATATATTTTTTAAAAGAAGACAACCTAAGGTATTAAACCGGGGGTATTTTGAATCTTTTCATGCAGCCATTTTACCACCAATCTATGCCAAATTAAAAAATAAAAATAATAATTGGTCATTTTTTTGAGACACATAGCAATTTAAGAATATATGTACTGAGAACTTTAAGGGTCACTGCCAAAGAACACCCCAATATGTATTCAGCATCATCTCCTGAGTACAGGGATACCACCCATGTATAGGTGTGTCGGGTTCTCTGGGGGCTAAAAGACTTTATTTGGAGGGTGCGCATTCCAGTTTTCCAACTTGAATTTTCACAGTAAGTCATCATGCACCCATGTCCCATTTGGGACATTTTTGAAGACAAACAATATAATTTACCCCCATCAAACTATATATTTTTGAAAAGTAGACACCGTAGGTATTTCAAATGGTGGTATTTTAACACTTTCCATGCACTAATTCTACCACCAGTCTCTGTCAAACGTTTGGGTAGTCATTTTGTGTTATTTTTCACACTTATTCTACTTTAGGCATGGATTCTCAGCTCCTGTTAGGTGTTACTGCCAAAGAACACCCCAAAATGTGGTATGTCCAGTCATTTGTAGTAGCCACTTAGTCACAAACGCTGGCCAAAGTTAGCATTTTTCTTTGTTTTTTGCATTTCTTTACACAAAAACTGCACCTTTACTGGTGATTTCATCGTCTGAATACGTTTTACTAATTTAGAACACTTATATTTGTGTTCAACAATGCCTCCCGAGTATAACAATACCCCCATGTACAGGTTTTATGGTGTTTTGGAAAGTTACAGGGTCAATATAGGGCTTGCCCGATCTAGTTTGCCAGATTGGTTTGCTGGACCTTTGTTGCCTTTTGAGACCATATGGAAGCCCAGGAATGTGAAATAACCCTATCATGGCATACTATTTTTAAATGTAAACAACCCAGGGTATTCCAAATCGGGTATTTCCAGTCTTTTGTTGTAGCCACTTAGTCACAAACGCTGGCCTTAATTATCAGTTTTACTTGTTTTTGTATAAATGTTTTGGTTTTTAATTTTATATATATTACGTGCGCGTGTATATATTATACATATATATATATATATATATATATATACACACAGACACAAACACACTTTTATTTCATATATATGTGTAATATATTATAATTAAATCATTTTATAATATATTATACATATATAATGCATCTATGATTTCATCATAAGTGTATTTTGAGATATATATCAAAGTACACTTATAATGAAATCATATAGATGCATTATATATGTATAATATATTATAAAATTTTGAGGGATTCCCCTTTCTTGTGCATTCGTCTATGTTCGGGGAAATTTCCCCAACATAGATTTGAGGGATTCCCTGCTCTGGTGCGTTTGTCTATGTTCAGGGAAGTTTTCCCCAACATATACATACGCACCAGAGCAGGGAATCCCCATGACAGCTTGCACTAACGCCTGGTCGTAAGTGCGAGCCGTGGTAAAACAGGTAGGTCGCTAAATGAGGACCACCTGTTTATGTATAATATTTTTATTTTATTATTTTTTTAGCAGCCTGGGGGACTGCCTGCCAGCTAAGACAGTTCCCCTGCTGGCAACTCCTAGAGTCCTATTGCGGTGATGTGATCCTGGTGATCATATGGCCATAGAGGGCCGGGGTGGCTGGAGCTGCTGTAGGGGGACTGCTGGGGTCTCTGGCAGTCCTCCCTGGCCGTGATCGACGCAGATCATCGGTCCAGGGTGTCATGTATTCATCCGCTTATAAAAATTTGGTTAATGGCATTTACTGTCAACAGATGAAAAGTTGTGCCGAGCAGCAACCAAATCCACAGAAGGGTTAATGCTGAGCAGCAATTATGCAAATGAGAACCTGGTAACTGCCTTTGGGGTCAAAGGCCGGTTACAGCCTATCAGATCTAAAGGAGGGGTATTTAGGCCCAGTTCTCATCCTGCTCAGTGCCCTGTCGTGGTTTCCCTTGTGGTTGTCCGAGAGCGCGTTATTTATTCTGGTAATTCTGGTTATTTGACTTTGGCATTGTTTTTGACTTCCCTGTTTTCTGGCATCCCTGACTCCTGGCTTTTCACATGGAAATGGAGGGGTGGAAGTTTTGAGAAATGCCGAGAAGGGGATATAAAGAGAAGAAAAAAAATGGTAGGAAGGATTGTATAATGTCAATAAGATATTGGAAACATGACATAGGTAGAGAAAAATTGTAGATGTCTGAGAAATAAATGCTATCACCCAGGACTATTATAAAAGGTGCAAATTTAACAATAAATGAGACAATTACAAAATGTTACATGAACAATAGGTTGATGAGGACACTGCTCAAACGAGCTTACAGTCTACAGGAGGTGGGATATAAAAATACAATAGGATGGGCATCAAGGGGGACAGCAAACAAACAAGGTGGGAACATATCAGACCTGGAGGTAAGAGTGGAATGTTGCCCTTTAGGATGGGTAGATGGGTTTTGAGAGACATCTTACCTGATTGAAGACTAAGGGAGAGTCTAATGGGGGGTGGCAGGCTGTACCAAAGGAAAGGAGACGCTTGTGAAAAGTCCTGCAAGCGTTAGTTAGCAGTAAGGCTGCGAGCAGCGGACAGGAGAAGGGGCATGTCTAGGAATTACTGAAAAAATATAGAGGGGCATAGAGTTTGTTTAGAGCTTTATTGATAATGGTTAGAATTTTGGATTGTCACCTATAGGATAGAGAAAGCCAGTGTAAGGATCAAGAGATGGGAGAGGTGTAAGAGGAGTGACAGGAGAGAAAGATCAGCTTGGCGGGAGCATTCATTATAGATTGTAGGTCGCCAGTACGGCTTCTGAGGAGACCAATTAAGAGTGAATGCAGTAATCAATGCAAGTAATTACTAGAGCGTGAACAAGTTACATTGCAGCATCTTGCGTAAGAAAGGGGAAGACATGAGCAATGTTTTTGAGGTAGATTCGACAGGTTTTAGCAACAGACTGGATATGAGGCACAAAGGTGAGGCCATGATAAAGATAACACCAAGACAGTTAGCTTGGAAGGATGGGCTGATGTAGGTACCCTCGACTTGCAGGGAGAGTGAAAGAGGACTTTTAGTATTATGAGAAAATAAGGAGCTCAGTTTTAGAGAGATTACATTTCAGAAAGTGGGAGGACATCCTGTCAGAGATGGAAGAAACACAAGAGGTGACACGTTATTGGACAGCGGCGGAGAGATCACGGGAGGAGAGACATATATGTGTGTCGTGGCATACTAATAGTAGTGGAATCAAATTAATTAATGAGTTTGCCAAGAGAGGCAGTATAAAGAGAGAACAAAAGGGGACCAAGAACAGTGCCTTGGTGGACTCCAACCGAGACAGGATGAGGGGAGGAGGTGTCATTGAAAAAGGAGATACTGAAAGAACATTGCAAGAGATGGGAGGAAAATCACTGGATAAAATTTTGAAGAGACCAAGGAATTGAAGAGTTTGGAGAAAGAAGTTAGAAATTATATCCCTGTATGTTATGTTTTTGTAAGTATTTATCCAATTTCAGTTTAAACATCTGTATGGACTCTGACAAAACCACCTCTTCAGGCAGAGAATTCCATATCCTTATTGTTCTTACTGTAAAAAAACCTTTTCTTTGCCTTAGATGAACTCTCCTTTCTTCCAGCTTAAATGTGTGACCTCGTGTCCTATGTATAGCCCTGTTTATGAATAGATTTCCAGATAAAGGTTTGTACTGGCCCCGAATATATTTGTATAATGTTATCATATCCCCTCTCAGGCGCCGTTTTTCCAAACTAAACAGATTTAATTTTTTTAACCTTTCTTCATTACTAAAATGCTCCATTCCTTTTATCAATTTTGTTGCTCGTCTCTGGACCCTCTCGAGTGCCATGATATCCTTCTTTAGAACAGGCGCCAAAAATTGCACAGCATATTCAAGGTGTAGTCTTACCAGTGATTTATAAAGAGGCAAAATTATATTTTCATCCCGAGAATTTATGCCCCTATTTATACATGACAAAATCTTACTGGCCTTAGCAACTGCAGATTGACATTGCATATTGCTGCCTAATTTGTTGTCTATAACAACTCCCAAATCCTTCTTGTGTGTGGTTATCCCTAATTCACTACCATTTAGTGTGTAAGTTGCTTGTGCATTCTTAACCCCGAAGTGCATAACTTTGCATTTCTCTATGTTAAATTTCATCTGCCATTTTAGTGCCCAGTCCCCCAATCTATCCAAATCTCTCTGCAGCAAAGCAATATCCTGCTCACATTTTATTACTTTACAAAGTTTTGTGTCATCTGCAAACCCTGATACATGGCTTTCAATGCCTATTTCAAGATCATTTATAAATATGTTAAATAGAATTGGTCCCAAAACAGAACCATGAGGAACACCACTTACCACTTTTGTCCAGCCTGAAAATTTACCATTAATTACAACTCGTTGTGTGGTTATCCCTAATTCACTACCATTTAGTGTGTAAGTTGCTTGTGCATTCTTAACCCCGAAGTGCATAACTTTGCATTTCTCTATGTTAAATTTCATCTGACATTTTAGTGCCCAGTCTCCCAATCTATCCAAATCTCTCTGCAGCAAAGCAATATCCTGCTCACATTTTATTACTTTACAAAGTTTTATGTCATCTGCAAACACTGATACATGGCTTTCAATGCCTATTTCAAGATCATTTATAAATATGTTAAATAGAAGTGGTCCCAAAACAGAACCCTGAGGAACACTACTTACCACTTTTGTCCAGCCTGAAAATTTACCATTAATTACAACTCGTTGTACTCAATCCTTAAGCCAAGGTTCTACCCAAGAACAAGAATATTCATCTAGACCAATTTCTTTTAGTTTGAAGATTAACCTGTTGTGAGGAACCGTATCAAATACCTTGGCAAAATCCAAGTAGATCACATCCACTGCAACACCCTGATCTATACTTCTACTTACTTCTTCGTAGAATGCAATTAGGTTAGTTTGACATGACCTATGTTTCATAAAACCATGCTGATTATTGCTAATGTATTCATCTGCACATAAAAATGGGTTTAATAGCATATACTGTACTGACAGGAAAAGTTGTGCCGAGCAGCATTACCGTCCTGACAGGAAAAGATGTGCCGAACAACAATCATGCACTTGGAAACCTGGTAATTGCTTTTGGGGGTCAAAGGCCGGTCATGGCCAATCAGATCCACTGGAGAGTTTATGCTGAGCAGCAATCATGCACCTGGAAACCTGGTAATTGCTTTTGGGGTCAAAGGCCGGTTACAGCCAATCGGATCCACAGGAGGGGTATTTAAACCCAATTCTCCTTTTGCTCATTGCCATGTTGTTGTTTCATTCTGATGGTAATCTGAGAGTGCATTCTTGATCTTGATTTTCTGGTATTTGACTTTGGCTTCATTTTGACTTCCCTGAATTCTGGTATCCTTAACTTTTGGCTTTCCCTCATCTTTCTGTCTGATTCTGTGTTCCTTACCTCAGCTAGTATTTTGACTATTCTTGGATACGTTAAGTCCGGCCATTCTAAGGTCCGGTTATACGTTATCCTTAGTACTAGGTGTGACACAGTTCTGCGTGCTGGATTAATTTGTAATCCTGACAAGGACTAAGGCAGCAAGAGTCCAGAGTTCAAATCCCCTTTTTGGCACCTGTGGAACGGCCACGCCTGGCCGTCTGAATGGCACCGTGCCAATCGTGACAAAAGGTGGTAGAGAGTTCAAGTAGAATTAGTATTGAGTAGTGGCTTTTGGATTTACCTGTGATTAGATCATTTGTAACTTTAATCAAAGCAGTCTCAATAGATTGGAGGGGGCAGAAGCCAGATTGACGAGGGTTGATGAGAGAGTTGGAATTGAGGAAGCAAGACAAGAGGGTAAAGACAAGTCTTTCCAGAATCTTTGAGGAAAAATGGAGGGATATGGGACGGTATTTGAAGGGGAAAGACAGGTCAAGGGATTGCTCTTTTAGGACGGGTACAACAGTAACATGTTTTAAGGGGAGCGGGGACAATGCCAGAAGAAAGAGAGCAGTTGAAGATGTGCATTAAGGATGGCACAAGACAAAGGGAAAGATAATTGAAAGAGTGTACATGTGGAATAGGTGTTAAGAGGCCAGAGGGAATTAACATAAGCTCACATCTTGTATAGAGGTATAGAAAAAGTTATAGAAAAAGACAAGGTCAACAAGAACTGGATAATACAATAAACACTGTTTGACACGGGTGTCCATAACTCAGGAGAAAGGGCTATGTTTAGACTCTAGCAAAGCAGAAGAGAAAAATAGGAATTGTGTGCATATAGTCCACTCTGGATTTAGAAAGATGCTTGAGACTTGGTGAAATGAAATACAGAGACAAACAGGACAAGTGCTGGAGTTAATGAAAGGCAAAAATAAATAGACTTGATATAAAGAGAGCAGATGTTGACAATGCTGATTACAGTAATGCTGGCCCATCTCACATAAGGGAGGTAATTTACGTATGTCAACTGGATGGGGAAAGGATGTCAACAGCAAATTCTGAGCCTAATAAGAAACTAAAAAAAAAATTTGAGTGTGCAACCAAATCACTACAAATACAGGAAGGACGCATGGCATTAATTCATCTGTGAGTAAATGCGACAATATTATAATGGTCATGCATAAAAAGATGTTTATGATCACACATTCAAATCAGGCAACATACATTCACAAGTACACTGATAAATCACACATGGTTTGGACTTGCCATAAATGAATAGACTAATGTACTCAAATATGGAACATAATATTGTGGTGCTGTAAAGGACATAATATTTTGGTGCCGTAAAGGACCACATGAAATTAAAATAATGAAAAACTGCGTAGAATAGACCATTGCATCTATGAGTAGATATCTCAAAAAAGGGCCTCCTATACTCATATCACTCTCCCACCTGCATTACTGAAAAACAATTCAGCTATTTTGGCCTGGAATTTCAAAATCTCTTGTCAATTCCCAACAAATGGTTTTGTGAATATTGCTGTAAGAAATGTACAAAATTTGAAATGTGTCCTAGACTAGCAAGTCACCTGTATTGGGGAATGCATACAACTATTCAAACCTTATTTAAAAGGATGAAATTAAAATGTCTTTAATGTGATTCATTTTGTGTTACTAAAACTATTAACAGTGGAAGGGGTAATGAGTGATTCCTGCCACATCTATACCAAATATAAAGTGAATGAAACTGGGAATATTTATGGTGAACATTTCAGAAATGGTTCTTAGATGCAGTATCCAGTCTAGTGGGAGTAGAGATCATGATTCCATTTCAAAATAAACACTGAAATGCGGTAGTTTAATAAGAGCACATGGGAGCTGATGTGTTTTATTTTTAAAATGATATATAACAAAAAAATATATAAAACAATGTTAGAGAAAGGGCACAGTTGTTGTTAGCAGTATTTCTTTCAGTGTATACATCTATTTAATCCTGTATATTGTATATGACATTTTTAGATGTGGAAATGCTATCTTATGCCATTCTTTTACTTATCTACTTCACCTACTTATTTCCTGCTTTATTTTTTGGTTTTTGGCACATATATAATGTGGTAACAAATGCTCCCTTTTATAGTTGTTAACATGAAATAATTCATATCCATGACAGACCACATATTATCCACAGAGGAGTTATAGTATGACCACCATCAGATTCTTGTGATGAATAAAGAGAATATCGCATTATTTGTCCAGATTACAAAACTCATCAGGAATTATTCATCAGGAATAATTGCCAAGTCAATTTATACTGCTCTTACAATTTGTAGTTACAGGGGTTGACTCTGGTTTTAGACAGCTGTTCAAGGGGTCTAGAAAGATCTTGGAGTGCCCAGAATGTTTTCTTGAAGGTGGTTGTGAGTTTGAGAATATAGTTAGACAAGAAGGAGAAACAAGTCTCTGAAACAAAGTGCCCAGGCCACTTCCATGCCTATCCAGGGCCAGACTTGCCACAAGGCCATGAAGGCCACAACTTCAAGGCAGCAGGCAGGAGAGGGGTGGCACAGCCAGTGGGGTGATCAAAGATCTCCCTAATTTGTCAGCCCATTCATCAGCACTCAAACAGAGAGGTTGTAATTGGTCTACCTTGCCTGCACTATTTCAGAGCATTGACATGAGCTTTGATACATTCCTCAGTGCTGGCTGGAAGGAGCTGTCTGCATCTACTTAATTTAAAAAAAAAAATGCATTTTTTTTTTTTATTGACCCAATTACTCCTCTGTACCCCACATATACTACTGCAGCCCCAATTTTTCACTACAATCACTTTGCCCAACTAAATCCACTACCCCCTGACTACAGCCCTTATAAATACTATAGTCCCCATCCCCCACTATAGCCACTGCCCCCCCTCCACAACCCACACTATAGCCTCTATTTCCCCAGTATAGATCATTACTATGGATGCAATTCACCACTATAGCCCCTATTCACCACTATAGCCACTGCAACCCTTATACCCAACTGCAGCCACTATTACCTTTCTATAGCCACTAACCATCTCACTATAGCCCCACTACATCCCCTATTCCCTCACTACAATCCTATTCCCCTAGTACCCTAAGTACAGCTCCAACCCGCTAACTACATCATCAATCCATCACTATAGCTACTATCCACACCACAATAGTCCCTATACTCTCACTATAGCCACTATACCCTCACTATTGCCACTATTCTTTCACTATTGCCTCAATACCATCACTACAGGCCATATACTCCCACTATTGCCTTTATTGACACTATAGCCATTTTACCCACTATAGGCCCTATTTCCCTACTATAGACACTACCCCACAAATAATGCCCTTCTTCACCCCACTACATCCCAAAATTCAACACAACAAGCAGCCACACCAATATACATAGCCCCACAAGCAGCATTTCTATTAGGGACAGATCCAGGACCTACTGTTGTGAGATTATTTAAAGAAACACTCCAGGCACAATAAACACTACAGCCATCTATAGTGGTCATTGTGCAAGGAGTCCCATGGTCTGTCGGGGTAGTGGCAGTAGTGGGGGAGTTAGGAGCTGTAGTGGGGGTTAGAAGATGTAGTGGGGTTTAGGGGCAGTAGTTTGGAGTTATGGGCTGTAATGGAAGGATATGGGCTTTAGTTGGGAGATAGAGTTGTAGTGAAGGCTAAGAGGGAGTAGTGGGGGGTTAGGAACAAGATTAGAAGCTTTAGATTGGGTTTAAGGCATTATTTGGGCTGAGTACTGTAGTGGGTGGTAGGAGCTGTAGGGGGAGATAGGAGCTGTAAGATGAGGATTAGAGCTGTAGTGGGGGTTATGGGCAGTATTGGTGGGTTTGGGGCAGTAGTATGGGGCCAAAGGCTGGAGTCAGGGGTTAGGAGCTGCAGTGGGACATAGCGGCAGTAGTGGGGATTATGGGTAGTAGTGGGGATTAGAGGTAGTAGTGGTGGGTTAGGGGAGGTTATGGAGGTTTAGGATAAATTATGGTGGGTTAGAGGCTGTAGTGGGGGACTAGGAGCAGTTATAATGGGTAAGAGGCTGTAATGGAGTAAACAAAAGGCAGAAGGTAAAGTAAAAAAATTTAATAATTAAAATATATCACAGGGTTACCGCAGTGTAGAGATAACTCACTTCAATTCTCTAATGCAGTAGAAGGAGAGGAGAACTTGGCCTAGAAATACAGACCAAGTTCGCCCTCCTTACCTTCGATATCAGGGGCTGGCTGGGGAGCATGGCATCAAAGCCACTATATGGCTGCTTGGAGAGGGGGAATTGCCCACATGCCCCCTCCATGAAACTGACCTTGATTCCTACAAACATTCAACATCACAAGCAGCCTACACACACACACAACCCCTCTACCAGCCCTGTCCCACTTATCATCCAACCACCCACCTAGTCACATTCACCATTTGATCATACCCGAAACTGGCTGTATAACTTTGCATATATGTGCATTGAGGAAACTGACCTTGGGGCAGAAGGGAGGGTAAATCTGGCCCTGTTGTTATCCATCAGCATTTTTTACTTTTACCTCCTTCATCAGTGGTCAACTTTTAAAGGTGACATATCTGTGGGTGTAAATTATTATTATTTTTTTATATTCTTTATTTTTCCATCTTGGCAGACACAGTGATAAAACATCATCATAGTGGCTTGTGCAAAAGCCAAATAACAAGTCATACATTTAAACAATGCAACATAACAGGCTACCACTGACACTGCATGCTCAACCTAAGTAGTAATTTCTTCACCGTCCGCCAATGAGTTTTTCATATTTTAAATGAACTATTAATTGACATTAAACAGTATGCAGAACAATTCAATCTACTTCACGATGGCAGTTTCTATCTTGCTTTTTTATTTTTTTATTTTTTTTTTGTTGTACTTTTTTTTTGGTGAGCAAGGATACCCCAAAGATATATTCACAACAACTGAGTAGTCTTTATTAAACTGATATGTATCCGTCAAATATCATACATTTAGGGTGAACACACCGTTTACAATAATAACAAAATAACTGTGCTTGGTGGTAACAGCTGTAGTGTATCAAGGGTAGTATAACCTATACACTGGTACCAGATACTTCAGGTTTAGTGAACGATACAGTAATTTATGTAGCAACACTGAGATATGTGACCTTTTTCGATTCCCTATTGGTGCCCGTATATAACGTCTGTTAAGACTTAAGGAGCCTGAGCCCTGACCTGCTCTACAAAATAATTTTTATTTATTTTTTTCCCCCTTATTTGTGTTGTTCTTGTAACATTTTTATTTTGACGTGTTAGTCGACCAATTCGTTTGGGTGCATTCGTCACCTTAGAGTCTACACCTTACATATAAGTTGGCTAAATATAAACTATGTTTCAGATAATTTATATTCTTGTTTAGAAGGAATCAACGGCAGCTCCACCAGGCCTACCTACCTATAAAAAGTATCCGTACACGGTAAGGTATTATGACTGATAGGTCTATCACTCCGTTCAATTGAACTTTTGTGAGTTATGATGGCATGATCTAGTGCCTTCTATCAATTTGCAAATTTTTCATATCTCCTATCCCAATGCCCCAAATTCGAGGCACACGACTAATGTTCGCTTCGTACTAGGCGGTGATCTGTTCCCCTGTTTGCTCTTATTTGCAACCAGTATAATTAGCTGCTGCTACCACTACCCTTGATGCTGTATGTCATCACTGTCCTAGTTTTCGTTATTTTCTTTTCAAAAGGAAAGAGAAAGTAAGAAAAGAATAGAGAAAATAAGAGAAGGAGGGAATTGAGTTTGAGGGGTTACGTTTAAGTATATGGAATGAGATGAATAAGTTTTTAAGGTCACAACCTCCCCTGCTTCAAACGGTTAACATTAGGTTGCCTGAGGTGTCGTGCCCATCGAGCGTGGATAAGGTCGGCTGATGGCGGGCATTGGAAAGATATGATTTTTATGACGAGGGGGGAGGTGAGAGGAAGTGGTGATTAGGAACCACTGTATGTTTATTGGCAAGGACGGTTGGGTCACTGTATAACACTATGTGTGGAGTTATATTTGTATATATGTTAATTTATGCTTATTTATGTCTAACGTTTTTGGTTACAGAAAAAGAGATTTAATAAATAAAGTTATGGATGTGTTATGCAGTAATTTAGTTTGTGATAATAAACCCCTCATCCATACTAAGGGGTCTGTCATTATTGGGGGGTTGAATGGGGTTAGTTTATGTTCTAGGCTGCATCGCGATTCCCCACTACGTACATACATGGCCTACAGGCTGCTTCTTTGATATGGGGTTGCCTAACAAAGTCTCTAATCTGCATGTATCTAAAGAAATCGGAGGGTGCCCACTTTCTCTAGATTTTGGAAATCTCTAGTGGTCATCCCAGGCATGAATGCTCTGTTATGCAGAAGTGGCATTAGGGGTGAAGTTGAAGCTGCTAAACCGTACTTATCTTTATCCACGTCCCATATCCTCAATGAAATGCGGATTGCTGGGCAGGTCACTCTAAGCATGGGCCTGTGCTCCTTGGGTACCCACATTGTAAATTGCGGTATGTCCGCTCTAACCATGAGTGATTTAATTTCCACCCACTTCCTATCGTCTGAAGAGGAGTGCCACATTGCCACTTGCATCAATTGTGCCACTAGATAATAAAAGTATAGGTTTGGGAGACCCCCCCCACGTTTTTAGTTGGTAAAGCAGCTGTCTAGATATTCTATGTCATTTGTTTTGCCATATAAAAGACCCTATTGCTTGTTTTAATGGTATGAGCTTTGGTGATGCGAGTGGGAAGCACCTGAAACAGGAATAGGATACGCGGGAGAACATTTATCTTTACGGAATGTATCTGCCCTACCCATGATATGGGCTTGTCCGTCCATGGGTGTAACTTTTTTAATTGAACAAAGAGGGTGTTTGGGTGAGTATTTGCCGACATAAAGGATATGTTTTAAGATCTCTGCAGATTTAAATCAAGGTTAACTAACGGTGAACAGTAAGTATGATAGAGGAGTTTAGATTGTACTAGTTGGTAATTGGAAATAGATAATAGTTCAGTCTTCCAAGTGCAAAATTGTTAAGTATCCAGACACCACCCAATAATATATTTCAGATAGACACATTATTATTATTATTATTATTATTATTATTGCCATTTATATAGTGCCAGCATATTCCGTAGTGCTTTACAATATTATTAGAGGGGGGATTTAACTAAAAATAGGACAATTACAAGAAAACCTTCAGGAACTATAGGTTGAAAAGGACCCTGCTCAAACGAGCTTACAGTCTATAAGAGGTGGGGTGTAAAACACAATAGGACAAATGCACGGTCATTCACGAATGTGAGAATTGTCAGGAATTCAAAGTGATTTTCACATTTTAGACCAAATACTGTACTTTTAATTCACTTTGAATTTCTGACATTTTTCATTTTAGTCAATAACCCTGCTAGTAGTAAGAATAGTTCAGTGAATGATGAATTGAATCAAAATAATGATCTTTGGCATCAAGACAACACACTTTTGTCACCGGGTGGCACTGTGGTAAAGAATATACTAAAGTACAAATATATATATATATATATATATATATATATATATATTTCATGATGTGTCTGTTATTATAATGGCAGATCTAGTTTCAGAATGCCGTACTGCATGGTTGTGGATGTAAGCTATTGAAATGCACATACAATTTGAGGAAGTAAAATATACATGTACCTCACTGCTCCAGGTTTGTGGGAGTTATACATTGGCAAATGCCATTTGAAGCTAAAAAAGCACCCAGGATTGTAAATCCAACTAATTTGGGCAGCACTGAGACATGTGTATTCCGATGTTGCCAAAACAGTAAAGTCATGCCCTCAACCACATTACATTGCAGCAAACCTTAACTCCTGCACTACACTATCCTTAAACATTAACCACAACACTATATTTCACTAGCACTAACTCCTACTAAAAAATGATCTTTACACTATAGTACCACTTAACATTATCCTTTAAACTACCCTGATTCTAACCATTAACTCTAAAGCTTACCCTATCACTAACCTTAACCCATACAATGTTTACACTATACATTAGCTCCTACATTTTACACAAATCCTAACCGAAAAATGTAATGTAAAATATGAGATACATAACAGCAAAGTATGTATGGGGGGAGGCCTTATACCCTTCCCAGATCTCTCAATGACAGTGAGTACTTACAAGGTAATTTACAAGAGTCCAAATGTCCCATAACAAACAGCTGCAGATCTGCTATTTGTTCATCCTTGTAGGGTTGTATTTAGCACTGAGCAGTGCTTGTGTGTTTGATTGTATGTTTTTGTATGAAGTATGTGTATATAAATGTAGGGGTTTATTTAGGTTTTGTTGACATTTAAAAGCAGATGTGTGTATTTATGTAATGTTGTCTTTTGAAAGCAGTGGCGTGGTTATGTTTAGTGTTTGCTTTGTATGTAGGGGTGTTATTGTATGTAGTTTTGGCATTTGAACGAATGTGTGCATTTATGTGTAGTGTTTTTTTTTTAATGAGAGGTGTGTTTATAAATAAAATTGGTGTTTTCATACAAAGGTGTCCTGGTATTTATGTATGTAGTGTTGACATTTGAATGCATGGGTGTGTTTGTATGTAGTTTTGTCGTTTGAATGCTGAGATGTATGCACCTGTAACAGAACTGTCTGTATATGGATTACATTTATTTTCCCTCCATTTGTCTGTTGTTCATTTTATTTCCCTGCCTGTACAGTCCCTATGTGTTCCCCTGTTAAACTACCGAAAGCCGCACAAAGGCGTGACCACCGGGAAGCTAGCATGTGCAGTCAATTGACCATTACTGGGTGGCCGCGGTTACACTTAGCGGCCGCTAGGTGGCGGTGTTATGGAGCTCCCCGGACGGCCAGCGATGCTCAGCCCGGAATCAGTGCACTAAAAGCGGACACTTTTATGTGCAGGCACCGCTGAGCCTCTAGCCTTCCCTGCGTCTATTCGTGGCTGTTTAGATGAACGCTGGAGTGATCGGGACTTTTTCTATGTGAATATGTTAACCCAGATAGCTATGCCATGGAGCCTATTCGTGTAATTAAAGACTTTGGCTCCATGGCAATTGAACTGTGTGTATAGGATATGAGCGTGATTTGGTAGTCATGTGTGCTCAGATCCCAGCTATCTGGGGATATGTGACATGCATGGATTTTATGTATTAAAGGTAACACTGTATGTTTTAATGTACTTTACGGTCTTTGTGTCCCCACGTGTATAATGGAGTTTTGGCCTCTGTCCTGGGAGATAATTGGATTACTTCCCAGTTATCTCCAGGATAGAGGGAGGGAAATTAGGATGCATTGTGGGGATGTTTTACTTCTGTGTGTCTGAATGTGAATGTGATACATGTCTGTCTGTGTTACAATCTTCCATCTGGTCCCCTGGGGGAGTGTCCACCAGGTGGGAGACCTGCATAAATACTGGGCAGGTAGCCCTGAATAAATCAGACCACTGCTTGACCCTCAACACAGAGCTCTGTCTCGTCTTTGGGGGGATTTACTGTTAGATACTGATTGCCAGGAGTGTAAGCCGCTTGGGTGCTTTTCCTGTTCATCTGATAGCAGTGAGGTTCCAGTTCGGGAGTTTGGAGTGCTACTTTGTATGCAGTTCGGGAGTTTGGAGCATTCCCTTGTATTCAGTTCGGGAGTTTGGTGTTCTGCAGTAGCTGTGGCTGTATCTCTGGAAGGGGAAGATCTTCTAAACGGCAGTTTACCCCTTTAATGCCTGGAGGTGCCGTTACAGCACCTATACACACATACACTGCCATAACTGCCATACATATACAATACACTCACAAACTTACACAGACAGAAATGCAGACACAGAACACACACTTACACACATACAGATACACATACTGACATGCAGATACACATAAACACAGATACGAATACTGATACATATACATACACACATGCTAGTCAAATTTCACGAATTTAAAGCCACCCTCCTGTTTCCTACCTTTTGGGCACAAGAGGGTGACTTCCCTCGAGTCCACTTTGATCTGCTGGCTGATGCTGTTGAGAGTCAGGGCATGGCTCTCCCAGTTTACACCCCATTTTCTTTGCTTTCTCCTCTGTCCTCTGCCCTCCTCTCTGTCTTTCCAGCTTTGACTTTCTCCAAGCACTGGCTGCCAATGTGAAAGGGGTCCAGCTACACCGTTAAAGGGCTGCAGTGCACAATGGCATCCTTGATGACACATGTCCATTGGGTGTCCTTAAATTCATGGGCCACCCAATGGGCCCCCTCATTGTTCAAGGCTGCATGGGTGGTAGTTCCACTGCTTTTAGGACTGCAAAATCAAGACATTGTTCACACTATTTAACAATGAGTTTGAATTGGGTTTGGATTTCAACTGGATCAAAAGCACCAAAGATAAGCCAGCTTAAGCATCAAAGATAAGCACCAACAATAATGCATATTACATTTTTAATCATTGCTGACAAATGTAAACATTCTGAGAATGTTTAAAAGTTTGTCAGGGAACACACATGTAATGACTGTCAGGCTGGCGGTCATAAAGCCTGTTGAAGATCTAACGTTTTCATTACAAAAATGAAAAGACATCACATGCAACATGCAACATGATGATGCAAAATTCTGGTAATTGTTATCATAGAGAAGCATTCGGATAATGTTTTTCTAGCAAAAGGATCTGATCAAGGGAACGTGGCATTTGCCACATATGTCCTGTAGATACTCATCACTTCTCTATAAAAAGCATTCAATTGGAACAGAGGCATGGATGGATCTGGATAAAAGTTGAGTTTATTTAGGTTTTTAGTTTTTTTTTCCAGGGGAGACCCCGTATCTAATTCTTGAAAGGATCATTCTAATATTATACATAAAATATATTTATTTAGAATCTTCCTTTAAGGATAATAGAGATGGTAGTTAATGGGTTAATGATGGGCAAGTGAAAATACCTTTATATATAGTTAAATATATATATATATAATTTTATTTTGTTTCCCTTTATCAGACCCGGTTACAATAAAGCCTCAACGACAATGAAGTAACTGCACATTATATCTCAAAGTTTTCAAAGTGTAATTAGCTTTTTGAGACAGTATTACGTAACCTTTGGTAAATCCAATTAAATTATATAGCTTGTTTGAAATGTTTGCACACTGCAGAGATTTTATTTTCTCTTCCTATGTACTTTTTTATTTCTTTTTGAGTAGATTTAAAGGCAATGTCTTTCAATCAGCAGTTTAATGGTAGGATTGGATATATTTTCAGTTTTACTGTAATTTTAAGTAGACACATCTGTCGACATCAGTCTTACTACTCTACTCCATAAATCCACCAGCACAATAAGCTGCCTAGCTGGAAATGTCATGTGAAGGATCACAGAAGGTATTGGCAAAAAGGCTGTGCATATTGTATGCATGGTTTAAATCTACTTTCCATAATACTTTGTTGTAAAAAGGAAAGAGACTGAAATATAACAGCGAGGCATGAATAATGCATTTTTCTCTCTTTTTCAGGGATATGAAAATGGGAACTTTATCTTGGCCAACAGCTACTTTTATAACTGTTGTTGCTACTGTGTATTTAGAAGCTAAAACCACTCAACCATCAAAGTACACTAAGAAAACATATAATATGGAGATCGCCAATGGCTTCGAGACATCACTTGCACCACCCACCGAGGAGACTGTTTTTACTGACATGCCAGAAACAAGTGATACCACTTCTGAACTAGCTACATTAAATGCAGATTTTAGAACAGCTACCACTCTTTACCCGTTTGATAATTTTACTCTAGAAACAGCAGATTTCTTTTTTAACTGCTGTGATTGTTGCACACCTATGGCTGGACCAAAAGGGGACACAGGAGATATTGGACTCCCAGGTGAGTAAAACAAAAAGCATTTATTATTATTTTATTATTTATATAGCGCCATCAGATTCCGTAGCGCTGTACAATGGGTAGACTAACAGACATGTAATTGTAACCAGACAACTGGACATGCAGGAACAGAGGGGGTGAAGGGCCCTGTTCAATGACCGTACATGATAGAGGGAGTGGGGTATAGTGACACAAAGGGTAAAAGTAGGGGTATGAAGTAGGTAGTTAAAAAAGTATTCACTGAGGGCTTACTAGGTAATTTTTGACATTAGCAGGAGAGGAGTCATGGGGGTCAGGGGATAAAAACCTGCTAACAGTTTAATTGATATGCTTTCTTGAAGAAGTGAGTTTTCAATAATTTTTTGAATAAGTGGAGACTGGGTGAAAGTCTTACAGGGAAGGTAGTTCCACAGAAGAGGTGCAGCCCTGGAGAAATCTTGTAGGCTAGAATCAGAGGTGGGAGTACGGACAGAGGTCTTTGGCAGAGCGCAGGGGCCTTGACGGGACATACTTGTGCATTAGGGAGGATAGGTAGGTTGGATCAGCATTATGTAGGGACTTGTAGGCAAGCACCAGAAATTAAAATTTAGCCCTATATCTAACTGAAGGCCAATCCAGCAACTGACAGAGTAGGGAGGCGTGGGAGATGCAAGGGGACAGGATAATGAGTCTCGCCGCCACATTCATTATAGATTGCAGCGGTGCAATCGGGGAACCCATAAGACCACTGAGAACGGGATTGCAGTGGTCAAGGCAAGGGAGAACAACAGCATGGACCAGCACCTTAACCGCATTTACTTTTATAAATATACTACATATTTTTTACCTTTAAAGTATAACGTCACATTTAAAGGAACACTATGAAGTTAGGAATACTAATTTGTTACTGCCTTTAGAACTATTAGGTCCCTCCCACTTGTACAGTACTAAAAGGGTCAAAAACCCTTCTTTACTTACCTTGTTTCTAGTACCGAGGCTCCATTGGTGCTGCAGACCTTTACTCCATAGCTACCATTACCAGGAGGCAGGGCTTCCTCTTGTGGGGACCTGATGTGCATGCATGATGAGTGCCACACACACATTCCAACTTTCTCATAGGAAAGCACTAAATCAGTGCTTTTGAATGCTCTGTGTCACGTGACCGAGTAAACCCTGCAATGTAAAAACTGGAATTTTTTATGACACGGAGGCTCCTATTATGCTGCACTCTTTCTTTATTTCCCTCAGGAGCAAAGAAAACTTTAACAATGAAATCAACACAAGAAACAGTCAGTAACATATATCTTCCATGGCAACCAACAGCCAATCAAGTTCCACTCTCCAGCATAACAGGCGGAATTCCCTGAACTATTTCCTTTTTCTTTGCTGCTCCCTCAGTTAAGTACACTAATCCCATAGTTTCTTAACTGTGGGGTTGATATCTTATATATTTATACCTATATATTAATATTTATATATATATATTGATATCTACTTATATATAATTATAATTTTGTCTTATAGTTGGTTATAATATTTTTGTCTTTGTTTTAATTTTTGTTTTATTGCATTTATGTTATATTTATTTTTTGTGTAAATAAATTCCTATGGTACTTTTCTCCTCCCTTCCCTTTAGTCCATTTTATGGTGCACCGGGAGGATTTTTTTCCTTGTCTCCGGTTTTAGGCTTTCAGTTTTCTAACCTACAGCTGTTTTACTGTCTGTGCAGCATTTTTTTGCGCCCCTTTTCTTTTGTTTTAATGGTTTTCTCAGTTCGTGTGTGAGGGCATACGTAGCATTCAGTAATTTTGCCGTTCGTTGGTTTTATATACCTTTCTGTTTCCCTGAAGCCACGTTCAGTATTTTTTACCATTCGTGTGTTTTGCATGAACAGTTCATTCATGCTTCTGTCGTTCGTTCACTTCACAGGAGTCTGATAGACTTTTCATACGAACAAACGGTCATTTTGCGGAATTTCACCATTCGGCAAAATTTTGAACGCTTTTTCCTGATAGTCTTGCCCCTTCCTGTTTCACCATGTTGGGGTTTAGTAGTTTTGGCGAACGGACGGCTCTCTTACTCTCTCTGCACTTATTTCAGATTGTAATTTTGACTTTGTTTATTTTTCAGCATTTTCTCCCTCCCTGGGTTACTCAATCCTATAGTTAGATTACTTTACTATTTAAAGTTTTGCCAGTAATTCTTTAATGATGCAGTCTGACAGGGATTTAACTTTGGCCTCTGGGTCTCAGGCGACCCCTCAGATTCCCCATGGTAACCCGGGATTTCTCCGCACCTGCGGACATACAGGCACTCTTTGACGCCTCAGTCTCTAGGTCCATTACAAAGACTATGGTATCTGCTATTGACGCTGTGTCGACTTCTCTGTCGCATACTATTACCCAGGCCCTCTTACAAGCCCAAAAGTCTGCGCAGCAGACTCTGACACCGGTCTCTCAAGGCCGTAGGGCTATTGCCAAGACCAAACGTTCATCCAAAACTGTATTGACTGACAGTTTGCCTACTGTCACAGGTGGCGCGCAACCACCACTGCACAAAAGAGCCACTAGCCGGGCAAAATTGGCTAGACTATGGAAGCAAGCAAGAGCCCAGTTTGATTTGTCTGAGTCAGAGCTCAGCAACATTGAGGAGGAAATGGATAAGTCCGATAAGGATGTTTCAGAGGGTCAGTCCGAATCAGACTTCGACGGTGTGATTGGAGGGGCATCTGCCTCCTCCCTCAGCACTTTCCCTGCTACGATGTTGGGGGGCCAGTGTGGGGGGGCCGGTGACAACTCTAGGATCCTGGACCTCTGACCTTTTTTTTTACCCAGACGAGCTTAGACATCCGCGTTCAGCGGAATGGTGTCCTTCTGACCATGTGGCGAAATATATCGCTTCCAGAGTACGTAAGCCCTTGGATAAGGCTACTAGAAATAAACTACAGGCAGAATGCCCCCATCCCACTGTCCCAGATGACGCATGTAAAACGCCCACTGTTGACCCCCAAATTGCCCAAGTCCTAAGGAAAACTGGGTGGAAGCCTAGAAAGGTTCTAGATTTTGCTTTATCTTATTGTCAAGACAAGGTCTTGAAAATTTTGGGCCCTGAAGCAAAACTATTCGATGCGGTCGAAGACGATCAGGATCTAGATAGGGATTTAATCCTTGGTTGGATCCAAAGGATAATTTGCCTAGTGGGCAACGTACATTCACCACTGGCTACCAAGCGCCGCAAGTCCATCTTGCTGTAAATTGAGCCAAAGCTGGTTAGTCTAGCTATTAAGGAGCCAGGTGCCCAGGCTAAAGAGCAGTTATTTGGTGACTCTTCTGTGAAAGAGTTGGGGTCTCTTGTGCACACCTTTATGGCTTTAGATAAAGCCCAAAGCAACATGCGCAAAATCTTTCACCAAAAGGTTTTTCCCGGGCTGGAAGAGGAAGGAGCTATCTGTCCGGCCATATTCAGAGAGGTTCGTATGGGCAGAACCAAGGTTCCTATTCGGGACGAGCTGGCTTTCAGGAGCAAAAGACCACACCAGCCTTCTTCCCACAAAGAGGCAGACCCTGTGTCGCTAGGGGCGTCCGAGGAGCTCCTTCTGGACAACGACCTTATGGTAAGTGTCTACTCTCCCCTTTCTTCCCTTTGGGTTGTGGGGGTGCAGACTCATACATTTTTCTCATGTGTGGTTGCTTCTGATGTCAGATGCTTGGGTCCTTCAAGCTGTAATAGATGATTGCATAGATTTTGTGTCACACCCAACCCAAATCTCCCCTCCCAGAGAGATTGTTTTTTCCCAACACGATACTCTCCTTGTATCCAAGGAAATTCACGAATTGATGCGCAAAAAAGCTATCACAGAGATCCCAACCAATACACCGAGTTATGTCAGCAATCTCTTCCTGGTACCCAAAAAAGGCGGAGGGGTGAGACCAGTCATAAATTTAAAACAATTGAATGGTTACGTGTCCAATCACCACTTCAAAATGGAAGGCATACACTGCCTACGCGACTTACTACAACCAACAGACTGGATGGCCAAATTAGACTTACAAGATGCGTATCTCATGGTCCCTATAGCGGAACGACATTAAAAGTTTCTCCAATTCACATGGCAAGGAAGGAAATGGAGGTTCACATGCCTCCCGTTCAGCCTGTCATCAGCCCCGTGGTGTTTCACCAAGGTCATGAAACCCGTGGTTGCTCTGCTACAAAGTCGAGGCGTTCGGCTAATTATCTATCTGGACGATATCCTCCTTTTAGCCCAGTCTGCCGACCTTCATGGACACCTGACATGGACTCTGGAGTTACTGCAAAACCTGTTTTTCCTTATCAATTGGGAAAAATCCATTCTAAAACTGTCTCAACATATCGAATCCTGGGATTAGTGAGCAATTAAACCTCACAGATGTTACATCTTCTGGCATCAAAATAGCTAAATATCAAAAAAGAAATCAGACTCACATTGGCCATTCCCCAACTCTCCCTCAAACACTTGGCACAAGTCAGCAGACTGCTGGCAGCTTCCATTGAGGTCATATTCCCAGGCCGGCCCCACTACCGAGCTCTTCAACGGTTACAAGCCTCTTACCTCAGACGCGGGGCATCCTACGAAGACATGGTGACATTAGACAAAGAGGTGAAAGATGAGCTTCAATGGTGGCTTCTCTACACAGAAGCGTGGAATGGACACGCTATCTTTGGAACAACCCCAGACCTGATCATAGAATCGGACGCGAGCTTACACAGTTGGGGTGCGCATTGTGGAGATACCTCCACAGGAGGCAGATGGTCGTACCAGGATGCTGCATATCAGTTGCTTGGAACTTATGGCTGGATCCTTTGCAGTACGCAGCTTATCTCTGACTCTCTCTTAATGCACAATTCTATTGAAGATGGACAATGTTTTTGCAGTCAGATACATCAACCATCTAGGAGTCATGAAATCCAAAGTTCTGGCGAACATGGCACGTGATTTCTGGCAATTTTGCCTTATGCACAATATCTCGGTGACACCTCAATATATTCTCGGCCTCTCCAACACCACAGTGGATTGGTACTCCAGACATCTCAAGGACTTCAGCAATTGGCGTCTGGACCCCTTGACATTTAGAAACATTATGGACACTTGGAGACCTCTGGGAATAGATCTTTTAGCCTCTCGTTTGAACGCTCAACTCCCTTGCTTTTCAGTTGGAGATCAGATCCTACGGCTCTAGCAGCGAACGCTTTCTCTCGAGTTTGGGCAACGGACACAAACTATGCATTCCCCCCCGTTTACACTGATACCCCGTTGCCTTCTACGGCTGCGCCGCCAAAAGGGCACGTTGGTACTTGTGACCCCCCTATGGTTGTCACAACCATGGTTCCCTCATTTATTGGAAATGGTGATAGACTTTCCCCGCCTTCTCACATCGTACGATTCTCTCCTCCAGGATCCGGACGTACAATTTCACCCATTAATTCTCCAGGGTCTCCTTCAACTTATGGCTTAGCTGATTTCAGGGGACCTTGGTCAATCAAGGGTCGTTCTGCAATCAACTCTCAAACTTCTCGAGAATGCATGGGCACCTGGCACGAGACAAGCTTATAAATCTGCTTGAAATGCATGGAATGGCTGGTTCTTGGGAAGAAATCTGGATCCCTTATTGGCTTCTTTGACATCAATTTAGCAATTTTTGACTTCCCTTTTTGAAGCAGAGAAAGCGTACCGCACGGTTAACCTTTACCGTTTGGCACTCTCCGCTGGACATCAAGGCATCAATGGCGCCCTCATCGGACGACATCCCTTTGTCTGTCGCCTACTACGGGGAGTACGTTTTTATCGCCTTCCAATACCTTGTTATTGTCCTCCGGTTTCTAGCGTCATGGCCGGAAAATGCTTTGTTATTCCTCAAAACATGCTTTTCTGGTTCATCTCATGCAAAAGAGTCAGACGCTCGGTCCTTTGCACCGGAAGGCGTTCTCTTTGATATCTCTAGAAGGACCAAAACTTCGTCCGTACTCTACCCGTCATTTCCGCAGAAGCCTCTCCTGTGCCCAGTGGCATGTCTACGGGAATATGAACTCCGTACGGCTTCGCTCCGAAATCCTATGATACCTCAATTATTCATCTCTTTCCACAAACCACACCTTCCAGTATCCTTTCCTTCTTTGGCCAGATGGGTCAAATGGATTATGATGTTAGCCGGCATTGATACTTTCGTATTCTCTCCACATTCTGCCCGAGGAGCTATGGCCTCTAAAGCTTCTGCGGTTGGATGCCGACTAGACGATATTCTACGAGCTGCCGATTGGTCATCGGAATCTACATTTTGAGATTTTTATTTCAAGCTGATTGAACACTTTGCTTGAATAGTTATTTCACAGCTTTATACCAGCATAATAGGAGCCTCCATGTCTTAATAAAATTACCAGATTTTACTATTTACATGACGTAAATTCATGATTTTATTAACGACACGGAGACGATTATTATCCCTCCCTCCCACCCTTCCCTGGATGGTAGTTACCTGGGTAAGTTACTTACGGTAAGTTTCTTTGGTTTGGGTTTGCTCAATGATAAGGTGATTTGGTTTGAATTTCTCATGTCTGTATCCATCTCCAATATGTTGACTGAATACAATTTTAACTCAGATATAGCCTATTCACTTACATGGCGTTATTTTGTGCATGAATCCAGTTTTATACTTGGATATTACCATATTCTATTCTCTCTTACAGCTTGACTTGGAAACCCGTTTGCTGGTGGCATTATCCCCTTATTGCAGTTCCTTTTTTGGTTGGATGGTTCTACAAGTTCGGGATCGCTAGAAAGAGGAAATAGTTCAGGGAATACCGCCTATTATGCTGGAGAATGGAACCTGATTGGATGTTGGTTGCCATGGAAGATATATGTTACTGACTGTTTCCAGTGTTTATTTCATTGTTAAAATTTTATTTGCTGCTGAAGAAAATAAAGAAAGAATGCCTCATAATACTCGCCTCCATGTCGTTAATAACATCATGACTTTACGTCATGTAAATAGTAAAATCTCGTAATTATTCAAAAACTACAATGGTTACCATTGCAAGGTTAAAATGACACTTGAGATGAAGTGGCTTGGGTGACTATAGTATTCCTTCAATGAAATTAACAAACTGCTAATGTGAAAAAAAAAAAAAAATATATATATTTATTAGATGGTAATATTGGGACAACACGTGATCAGGCCAGTGATACCTATTGGCAATTAATTACAGGTGGCAAAGATACCCTATGGAATTTCCTTTGGCAGACAGTAAATGCAGATACAGGGAGAGGGAACAGGATCATGGGAGGAACATTTTTTCATTTATGATATGTACATTTCTTCTCATTTTCTATTTAAGAAACAATATTCTTCAAATGAGCACAATAATGTTAGGAATACACACATGTACTCTGCTAGCTGTTTAAGGCAGTTTTACTTACCTTTTCTAAATTGCCACAGTGCTTTCTCCATGACTAAGATCATCAATCTTGATCATTGCAGCCAATTCAATGCTTCACCAACTGAGTTTTAGTATTAGTATTAGTCCAGTACTGAAGAAGCAAAATAATTAAGTTTTTCAGTTTCTTGTAATACCTTTTTTGTTGGACTAACAGAAGTTTGCAGGGGTAAATGTTAGGGAGTTCCTCCCTTGATCCAGTCTAAAGCATATGGAAGTACTATATAGGAAACAAATGGGAAGCTGGAGTGTTGACACTGCAAATCGATGTGCTACAACAATCAGATCAAATCTAAGAGCAGCATTTGATTGAGAACAAAGTTTGACACGAAAACAGCCACTAAAAGTGTGTTTAACCCTGCAATGTACAAATCCATAAAAGGAAGCATCATTTTGCATTGGAATAAGTATAAACTTCTGTGAAATATACCAAAACAATATCTAATTTATTTACTATAATTATGATTGTGTTAGGTGTTATATTATAACAGGCTTTCTGCAGTTGCGGTTTTAAAAATAAAAGTTGGAACCCTTGTATACAAGAAAATATATGTAAAAGAGAACTTTACGTGGCATCAAAACATGACATTTGGTCAAACCAGTCTTCCATGTATTGATAAGACAAACCAATGCATTATATAACTTGCTGGTTATATCTCTTTTTTTAATGTCATTTGTAGTGATACATCATGTGATATGGTAACATGTGTGGGCTAGAAGGGTAGCTATAGATATAAACTAGATGGATAAAGCCTTAGGTGTAGACTAAATGACCTGCTTGCCAGGGGTTAGCAGACTTGCTAACCCCCACTGCCCCATATATACTTAAGAACCTGATATATAATATGGTGAATCTCTTTTTCAGCCATTAATGTCTATTGTTGGCTTATTGCTCCCTCAAATCTGAGCTGGAATTTGTGGCATGTGCCATTGTCTCCCTTCAGGTCATCTAAATATAGAGCAAGTGTCTTGATTAATCAACTATGCTATGGCCAATTAAAGAGGGAAACATTAATTAAGTAATAACTAATGGGAGAATGATTGAAGAAGACTGAGTGGGAATCCAACTCAGTGGCCTTCAAAGAGACAAGGGGCATACACTGCACAGATATGCTTGATGATGCAACATATTTTAAAATGCTTTTTGCTTTCATATTAATTATGTATATTTCCAGAAAACCGTAAGGGCTCTGATGCTGAAGTGGCACTAAGGACGGAACTCAGCTCATTTCCATCCCAATACATTTGGTCAATGCAATAATGTTCCCATCTCTAAATTTTTATTTAATTTTTTTATTGTTATTTTAAGGCCATCTCATGGATCAATATAACAATATAATCATTATGAAGTCCTTGTAGTTCGTCACACAGAATGCTCACTACTTTTGCAGTAGCTGTTTCTGGTTTGCTGTGAAAATATACTCAGAGGGCAAAATACAAAACCTCAACCAAAGAAAGTTAGAAAAAAGTAGATGAATATCCCTAACTAACTCAAAGGTAAGGTTAGAAATCTCTCTCTCTCTCTCTCTCTCTCTCTCTCTCTCTCTCTATATATATATATATATATATATATATATTAATTCGTTATGTCAGTCTAAAATTAAAAAAAAATCCAAAGAGCTCAATACGTCTCAAATGTATGACTTCTGACTTCCCAAATTAATTACATTTTGTGCTTGATAAATTTGGTTAATTTTGGATAGTTCATTGTTTTATTTTCATTGAAATTGCTAGATGTCTGCAGTTCACGTTACCTTAGAAGTCATAAATAAATAATTAAGGGCCTATTGACTAAAGGCTAAGTTGCAGTGAGTTTGTCATCTTAAGTGGTGACTTGGGGAAAAAATCTCCAAGTCATCTAGTCATTAACGGCAAGTCATGAGCTTTAATGAAACACTTCTCAGCTCGGGTTTTCACCAACTTCTATCTGAATATGTTGTCAAATTAAGAGACAGTTCACAGATTTCAGATTGTGTTAATATGTTATTAATGTTATTACAAATAATAATAGTAATAATAAAAAGGAAGTTGTACCCCACATGCCCTCATCACCAGCATATCATTGAATCTCTCTCTTCTTCACACATTCTATGTGCTTCTGGCAGGCCATAAGAAAAAGAATGTGACCACCATGTGTTCTTACAAATAAAGAGGGGGCATTAACATATTCCACCTTCTCCCCTCACATCTTGTGTAAAGGTTGAATTTCAAAGGGTTATTCACTAAAGTGAGAATTCAAAGTGAATTTCACATTTCAGGTAGCTGAACTGTAAGCATAACTGAAAGAAGGTTTCTACTTCTGCTATTTGACCTCAAATTTGAAATTCTCATCTTGAATAAGTGAATAACCCTGAAAGAGATAATTGTATACAGCAAGATTTTTGATGCCAGTGATGAACTATTGCAGATCTGTAGTTAATCACATATAATAAACCTACAGAGGTTCACACTGCTGGTATAAATAGCAGCAGCAGAGGTTTTATTTGATATATAAGTCATCTCTACTACTCTGTATCATGTACAAACAAAATGTACTGTATGTGGCAATCTGGCAAAAACCGACAGTCCTTTTACTATTTTACTTTTATGAATGAGTCCAAAAAAGGTTCTATTGTAAGAAAACAAAGACAAAAACACACTCATAATATTATGAAAATTATTATTGGACTATATCATTGATAAGAACAGCAAGCCTAATGCTTGTATCTACGTATTGCACTATTTATGTTCACGACATGTAATATATGTGTTTATTTTATATATGCATCAATGTAAAAAAAAAGTTTAAAAAAAAAGAAATATAGATTTTGACACAGTCCCATCTAGCAAGCCCATTCCTAAATTAAAGAGCAGAGACTTTAGTTTTGATTGTATTCTGTCCTCAGGGTAGCAGTAAGTTGATCCTGAAACGTTCTGAATTTTCTCCCTGTTCTGCAGGAAGTCTATATAATGTATCTACAACTCTTTCTGTAAATTTGCTGATGTTAGCCATCCATTCCTGTCCCTTCATATGCTTTTGCTCAGTCTAACAGATATTCACCAACTATATATTAAATATCCCTTTACTCAATGTTTTCTATAGCAAGGGCTTTTCAGTCTTTCTTGATACGTATATTTAATTTCTGTAGTCTTCCTTTAAATGGTCTTCAGATAATGTCTTTCTGAAGACAGTTACTTATCTGTTGTAATAATGATATTGAATGAGCATGTCACTAAGTCAAGTTTTATATAAAGTAGCTTAACAGCTTTGGAAACAGTTATATTAAAAGTGTGACAATTGAAACATATCCCAGTGTATGTTTAACTAAAATGTTTAAGTGAACCCGTCATGAGTTATAAAAGTTAGGTTAAATCACCAAATACATTAAATACATTATATGTCACGAAGGTACATGATGAATTTAATGTCAAATTTAGAGATATCACTCACCATACCTCTACTTCAGTGCCGCAATTCCTTGTCTTTGTGAGTGTTATTGTTCATGTAACACCCACGTCCGGTCCTGCCGCGCTCCCTTATATAATTTGTCAAACATGTGAACCCTTCCCCAGACTTGGAAAGCCTCCTGTGTGACAGCAACACCCTGGCCTCATTACCGATATCTGAACGGAGTCACATGAGTCACTCCACTCCTATACTCTGTAACCAGTTCGCGTAACGTGGGCTAGGGAAATTCCAGCGCATCCAATGGGAGGTCTTTTTTTGCTTTCATTTCTCAGTCAAATCATCAGCATAGTGTCTGTTTGGCTGAGAAGTGGGAGAAAGACATATTTTTGAATAGGTTTTTCTCCAAATCTATATATTTGCTAGCAAAACTGCCAATACAATGTATATAATAAATTGTATGCTATTCAAAATGAGCAAAAATTGTGCGGTGGGTTACAGGAACTCTTTAAAGCTGCTATATTATACCACCCTCAGAAAATGTTAACATTTCTAAACGCTAAAATCATTTCAATAAGATTCCAATCCAGTAAAAAAAACAGCATATTGTTCCCCAAGAGCCTTATATGATACCTACCTTGAAGCTAGATGCCTGGTTACTGAAATTATAGTCACTTAAAGGGACAATCCAGGCACCAAAACAACTTTATCTAAATTCAGTTGTTATGGTGCAGAGAGGACACTGGGAGCATGCTTACCTCAAGGGGTTAAACGGTTTTTAAACGGTTTAACCCCAATGTTGCCTCCAGTGGTGATCCCTGTTTCCCTCCCCCCACCACCCCCCACCCCATCGTGAGATCCGGCTTCGTTGCATGGCTGAGAGCAGTAACCTGACTCTCTCATCCAATCAGTTACTTACCATTCACAAAACTGGCTTGGAAAGAAATAACTGCTCTCAGCCAGTCAGCGGCGCCCTTGCTCTTCGCTTCCTGAAAGTGACATTTCAAAAGCTGGATGCCGAGCTGGGGGCAGCTGAAAACGCCACTGGAGGCAACTTTTAAACTGTTTGAGAATGGTTTAACCCATTGAGGTAAGAGAGCTCTCAGGTGCCTCCTGTCACCATAACAACTCAATTTAGAGGACGTTTTGGTGCCTGGAGTGTCTTTATAAGCGTGAATCAGCACAAGCAATGCGTCATATGTCATATCTAACATAACATATATTTAAATAGCAAAAGGGTAATAAAAAAAACTTGTTACTGACTTGCTATGTAAAAATGTGTTTAACCTTTAAATTTACAGGTTGATGTGAGATATATATATATATATATGTATACACTGCTCAAAAAAATAAAGGGAACACAAAAATAACACATCTTAGATCTGAATGAATTAAATATTATTCTTATATACTTTGTTCTCTACATAGTTGAATGTGCTGACAACAAAATAAAAAAATGGAAATCAAATATTTCAACCCATGGAGGTCTGGATTTGGAGTCACACTCAAAATTAAAGTGGAAAAACACACTACAGGTTGATCCAACTTTTGATTTAATGTCCTTAAAACAAGTCAAAATGAGGCTCAGTAGTGTGTGTGGCCTCCACGTGCCTGTATGACTTCCCTACAATGCTTGTGCATGCTCCTGATGAGGTGGCAGATGGTCTCCTTAAAGATCTCCTCCCATACCTGGACTAAAGCATCTGCCAACTCCTGGACAGTCTGTGGTGCAACGTGACGTTGGTGGATGGAGCAAGACATGATGTCCCAGATGTGCTCAATTGGATTTAGGTCTGGGGAACGGGCCGGCCAGTCCATAGCATCAATGCCTTGGTCTTGCAGGAACTGCTGACACACTCCAGCCACATGAGGTCTAGCATTGTCTTGCATTAGGAGGAACCCAGGGCCAACCACACCAGCATATGGTCTCACAAGGGGTCTGAGGATCTCATCTCGGTACCTAATGGCAGTCTGGCTACATCTGGCGAGCACATGGAGGGCTGTGCGGTCCCCCAAAGAAATGCCACCCCACACCATCACTGACCCACTGACAAACCGGTCATGCTGGAGGATGTTGCAGGCAGCAGAATGTTCTCCACTGCGTCTCCAGACTCTGTCACGTCTGTCACATGTGCTCAGTGTGAACCTGCTTTCATCTCTGAAGAGCACAGGGTGCCAGTGTTGAATTTGCCAATCTTGGTGTTCTCTGCCAAATGCCAAACATCGGGCCCACATACCACCCTCATGTAGTCTGTTTCTGACCATTTGAGCAGACACATGCACATTTGTGGCCTGCATGAGGTCATTTTGCAGGGCTCTGACAGTGCTCCTCCTGTTACTTCTTGCACAAAGACAGAGGTAGCAGTCCTGCTGCTGGGTTTTTGCCCTCCTATGGCCTCCTCCACGTCTCCTGAGGTACTGGCCTGTCTCCTGGTAGCGCCTCCATGCTATGCTGACATACACAGCAAACCTTCTTGCCACAGCTCGCATTGATGTGCCATCCTGGATGAGCTGCACTACCTGAGCCACCTGTGTGGGTTGTAGACTCTGTCTTATGCTACCACAAGAGTGAAAGCACCGCCAGCATTCAAAAGTGACCAAAACATTAGCCAGGAAGCATAGGAACTGAGAAGTGGTCTGTGGTCACCACCTGCAGAACCACTCCTTTATTGGGGGTGTCTTGCTAATTGCCTATAATTTCCACCTGTTGTCTATCCCATTTGCACAACAGCATGTGAAATTGATTGTCACTCAGTGTTGCTTCCTAATTGCACAGTTTGATTTCACAGAAGTGTGATTGATTTGGAGTTACATTGTGTTGTTTAAGTGTTCCCTTTATTTTTTTGAGAATTGTATATAAACACACACCAAAAGAGATGTGGTGGGGAAAAAAGTGTGGCTGAAAACCCCTTCCACCTGAAATAAGTGGATAGTTAATAAGTTAAATAAGTGGATAGTTAATGTTTTGTTGAGCTCGTTTGCATACGCCCACCCAGAATCCCTTGCAATAGTGAAAGCACTGTTAAAGTGAGATTTCTGTGGTAAAAGCAATCCTCATGACTTGACTGGTGTGTGCAGATTTGTGTTTTTCAAACAAAGCTCCAATAAGAGGTACCCAGTATCCCGCATTTCAGTAACAGGTAAGAAGGTTTACCATTTTACGTTTTCTCTTGAGGCTTCATTCAGCCTCCACGGCCTCATACAGCCCCCCACCTCTCAAAGTGGGTTCTAAACTTCGAGACGTATCTGGTCTAAGATTCCTCACAAATGTCAACAATAATCTCATAATCATAATCCACCGTATTACTACTATATTTAACGGTACATGTTTTGTCATTTCATTTCTACATATCATTACTTAGACCCGTGTCATTACCACAGCTCGCCAAGTCCTACGCCATCGACAACCTACAGGCTACCTGGTTCCCTGCTTTGCAGTATCAGGTATTGGTAATCTTACGGACCAACGTTCAGGTCCCTCAGCTTACCCGAGTTCTTACGTTACGGTATCTCTGATACACACCTACCCATACGTTCAACATTTTTACACTCATTATACCAGTGGCACGCCTCAGGCCCACTAGCATCTTTTTCCCTAAGGTTTCCCGGACCGTGTCCATTCCCTGCAGAAGCAAGAATATATGGTAATCTTCCTGCACATCAAAGAAAGAGGACAAACACTCAAGGTTTAAGTATCTACATACGTTATATCACACCATTCTAAGAGACAAGCCCCATCAGGCTAGAGAACTGGCATTGAGGGTTAGGCGCTGGCCTTAGTTATCCTAAGTAATACTACGGTCCCCCGAGGACTACACCCCACCTCATACATGGAGGTTTTAGCCCAACGACCAAATCATAGTTAGCCACCTCTCTCGCCCTTCTTTAGGGCTACAGTTAAGGCCTCCCAAGTCACGGCTACACGTTTTGAATCTCTTACAGTCACCGAGAGGCCGACATCCTGCCACCACATTCTAGTGGCGACAAAATTCCCTCGGCCCAAATCATAGGTAGAGCCTCTCTCCGCCACTTGGCACTAGCAGGGCCTCACCTGCCACTTGGTTCTAGGTAAACTCTTTGCCTCGGCACTAGCTAGCAGGCCAGTTCTCATCCACACCTCTAAGACACATTACTTATCCAAGTCATTTTTTCTTTTTCAGAATGTCACAAGTATCCATCCCAATAATCAGTCAGCTGTTGGACGGAATACCCAGCACGCCAGTCTGGCATGGGTCTCCAAAGGAATCCCTCACCCCTTCTACCCTCAGTTCCTGGTACATTCCAAAAATATAAACAGAGCTCAGCACAGTGGTATTCCCTCCCCAGCCTCTACCAGTAAGGCAGAACTAAGCAGGCTCACGACGGCTCAGACCAATGTTCCCAGGCCCGGCTCTAGTTCACAAGGGCCGTCAGCTTTCTCCTCAGATTCCAATCAGGAGACCCCAGTCGCTATACTGGCCAGCCTCCAAATGATTAACAGGCTGATAAATGGAATCGGCTATAGTCACACCAGGTGTCTGTTTAAGCCCGGCAGGCCCTCACCTGGCGATTTCGGTCATACAGTCTGGCTTACCCCTCATTTCCCTCCCCGTCCCCCACCACCCACTATCATTACTCCATCCATCTCACCGGCCCACTCTGTTCCAATTTCCATGGAGAAGGTAATTCTCGATGGAAAGGACGTTAAACTAACATAACTACTTAACTACACAAGACACCCTTCAGTACTAAGGTTACATTCATGGCGACATTTCAGTAGTCCTAAACAGCCAGACCACGACTTAACAAAGCTTTCCATTCCTCTGTTTATCATTGCCTCTCGCATAGAGTCAGCCACTTCCACTTCTCACCACTCCTTCACCCCACGCACTAGTCAGGGAGGCAGCCAGAGGGACTAGCCGGACTGACCATTTCATTTCTGGGGAAGCCTTGGGTGCACTATTCTTTGATTCGGGGGTATGCTATTTCACAACATGCAGGGTTTTGCACATCTGCTCCAGAACCCACACCTAATCCACATACGCTGACCGTCTGTCCCCTAAAATACGCCCAACTAAGGTTAACATTGATATCCTGGAATACTATCTACATTTACACCCAGCTAGGCATCTGGTAGATTCTGGTGCCGGGTTTCTCACTGGGGTTCACACGGGCCTTATCGCCATTCCCACAGGTACAGTTGTATGCCCTAACCTATTATCTGCACCCTTTGACCCTCTTATGGTGGACCACCTTCTGTCCACAGCAGTCATACGCTGGTTTCACGATCGCCTCCTTCCGGTCTTCACACTTCTCATCTTGGTGTACCATTCTCATCGAGGTAGCCATGCACTATACCCTATAATACTGATCATAGACCTCTTCCACACCGCACTCTACATCCATTCCCAGCATCAAACTACCTCATTCCCACTATGAAGTTCTCACTGCACAACGAAAATCGACCATGCCATACAAGCTATCACTTCAGTAAGTAGTAAGGCTTGGTTGAGCAACGCCTTTAATCTACTAAAAACAACAGAGAAACTTTGAATTTAACAGGTGTTTACACCCTTTAAACCCTCAATTTTCACAAGGGTAGCGCTAGGTATAAATATAGAAATGAGTGAATACGTGTATATAGTGCTTAAAGGCACTTACCCTCTATATCACACTTGTATTTTCATGTACATATAGAGAGAAAAAATAAAAATAGAAAATATACAAATGATAGTGTAGTATATCAAATAAATGTCTCAAAGAATTTATGTGAGTTATAAGTTTGAATAAACTCACATTTTTTAGAGCCTTTTACAGTTGTAAGGCTCTAAACTTCCAGACGTCTGTGTCTTTTGGGTAGATCACACGACCCCTCTCTCAAGGCAAAAAAGCGTATGTTCCTCTCCACATTATACAGAAAAAGACACAGATGATCCAATCTAAGTGTAGTGTTTTGAATACTGATTATATCAATATAAATAAAATACAAGAGTGCTCTTGTTTAGAGCCTTTTGATAACTGGCTCTAAGTATATAAGCCTAGTGTCAGTTTGTGGGGTGACACTGCCCCTCTCTGGATTAATCTACTACCTATTCACCCTGCTCTATGGCACCTGGCCTATGTTCGGGCAGCCATCCTCACTAACCATTTTCGTGGCTGATTTACACGCTGACTTGGCTGGCAGCAACCTCTCAGCTCTTTTTAGTCTGCCTTTACATTCCTGGCATCCACAACACAGCTTCTGACGCTCTTTCACGCTTAGTTTAAGGTCTTCTTTCAGGCACCCCCTACGGCCCACTACATACCATCCAGAATACCACCATTCCATGAGCAAATCTTGGATTAAGCACACAATTACACCTCGTACAGTTACGCACACTTCCGCAGTTTCACGACTACTCTATCACTCACGCTAGGGCTTTGTATATTGTACCATGTCACAAGTAGAGTTTGCTTGATTCATGACTCTTGCAGTTAAACTATTGTAATTTTTGCCTCTTCCTCTAAACCTACAAATCAAGCATCTTATTTATACCTCCTATGCTGTCACTCCGTTTTTTACGTATCCAAGGTCAGCCAAACACTATCAGTACTAATCCATTACTTCACGTCTAAACCTTCCATTAAGGTAAGCTACATCATGGCTTCCTTCGCTGGTCTCTCTTTTTCACAAAAGTGCTGCATCAGCAGCTTCAAGCTCTTACACCCCAGTCTAAATCACTAAGTGATGGGGCCACAGGTAATCCTCAGCTCAGTTACATATATACCTCAATCAGAGTAAAACTCCTTACAAGCTTTCAGTACACAAGCTGTATAAACTTGCAATAAAGTGTGTTTTTCTTTGAATCCTCTTTTGCCCTCTTTTACAGGCCTACTCGTACGTTGGTTTTGTCACAACTCAACCAACTTTGCTTCTCCTTCCACATTCCATTACGTATTAGATAAGTTCAGAGCACAAGTTGGAAGGCCATTTGGCCTGAATTTGTGGGAGGAGTTATGATCCTATATAAATCCGACCCCCCCTACTTACCTTTGTCGTGCAAGCTGTTTGTCCCTACCCACCTACACCTACCTATATTTATTAACAATTCACCTTGTGGGCCCTCTTTTACAGGCCAACTCGTACGTTGGTTTCGGCACACCTCAACCAACTTTGCTTCTCCTTCTACATTCCATTACATATTAGATAAATTCCGAGCACAAATATATATATATATTATCATCTTCAACTTGTAAATTAAAAGGTTAAACACATTTCTACAAAAAGAAAATCAATTTCCTTGGGACCTGTGTTCAATTCATGGGCATCTTAGAAAAGAAAAAGGAAAAAAAATCCCCATACTCACTAAGCACTGGCAGTGTATCTATTGCTTCAAGGTGACTGCAGCTTGCAGCATGGGAGGTGGTTTTCAGAATACGGTATATTGATTGTCCTCCTTTTGGTTCGAGTAATACAGCTTGGGAACAGACTGAGGATTTTCAGTAAAATTAGATCATTCGTTCTAAATCTTAATTGATTACACTGCAATCATTGATGATGTCTAGAAAATAAGATACACTGTGTTTGATGAACAATGAACGTGCCCTTATACATCACTGTGGAATTTGCTAGTATTAGTGTAAATAATAATATTAAACAGGATTAAAATAATACAATTAATTTTGGCATACTTTCGTTCTCTAGGTCTAAAAGGAGACACTGGGGATATGGGATTGCCAGGACCACATGGACCATCCGGCCCTCCTGGAGCAAAAGGTTATAAGGGAGACAAGGGTATGTAAGTGTGTTTAATGAACATGAATTTGCATTGAGTCAAAATACTTACCCCTGGAGGGTGAACAGAATGGATGGTTAATTGATTTGTCAAAACGTCAAATTACCACTTCTTTCTTACAATATTTCCTGAAGTATCTCTGGGTCCTTTGGCTGGACAGGAGGGGAGTGTGCATTGCATGCTAGCAACGTGGCCATGCTACAGGGAGACATATGGGCAGCTGGGGGGTAAGGAGGGAGGTGAATAGCTGACTCTGCATTTCTCAATCATGAAGTTCTCTACAAGCAATCTTCTGCTGCCTTTCAAATAGCCTAAGGATAGGTCGGTCCACTGAGAAATCGCCCGGTTTACTAGTGGACCACTCCAGTGCTGGGGACTAGGTACTTGTCCCAGAGATTTTGCCCTTTGTACCTCCAATTCTGGGTGCTATCTCTAAATATATCTGTAGTTATCTATCATCTATCTATCTATATATCTATCTCTCTCTCTATATATATATAAATATATTTCTCTCTATATATATCTCTCTCTCTATATCTCTATATCTATAATACAACTGTAGAAAATACCTGCACTACAACTTAACAAAAAAATGATACTTGGTGCTCTGATGGCCAAACAATAAATAAAAAAATATATATACCGGCACTCCAAGGGTTTACTGTAGGATTTCTTCTTTATTCCACAATCATTATCGATGTTTCAGCTCCTGCATGGAGCTTTCATCAGGATACCTGATCAGGATACCTGATGAAAGCTCCATGCAGGAGCTGGAACGTCGATAATGATTGTGGAATAAAGAAGAAATCCTACAGTAAACCCTTGGAGTGCCAGTATATATTTTTTTGATTTTCTATATCTATAGTAGCCGTATTAGTCCAGTGATGCAGATGTAAAAAACAAAAAAAAATTGTATCTTGTAATACCTCTTTCAGATTTAAACTTTTTTATTTTGTTGTATGTGCATAAACATGGGTAATAGGGGATGGTACAGAAGGAAGGGAGGAAGGGGGTAGGGGATCATAAAGTCTCGAGTCGCAAGTTCCAATAACAGTATTCTTTTTCTTATGTGGCTATCTAATACATCGGCACTCCTGCTCTGTATTAGTTTTAATGCATTTAGTACAATGTGTCACAGTGTGGCTTAGAGTAGTTCAGCGTTCTAGCCTCAATTCAATTACCATACCCAGTAGGCCTTCCACTTTTCCCACGCTATATCAAATGCCTCAGTATGTTTGGTGGATATAAGCAACATTTTCTCATACGTGTAATATTGCTTAAGTTTATCCAGTATGTGTGATGTGGGTGGCCATGTGGGCTGCTTCCAATGCGTGGCTATTTGGTTTCTAGCTGCCATTATGGTGAGCAAGAACGGTTGTTTGTGTGCGGCCTTTATAGAGTTGGGTAGTTTTAAAAAAAAAGTCCTGCTTGGACATCTAGGGATGGCAAGTCAGGATCCACCTTTGTGAATACTTTGTTTACTGTGGTCTACAGTGGTTGTATATCCCTACAGCTCCACCATATATGTGTCATATGGCCATCCGCTTTTCCACATCTCCAGCAGTTACTGGGTACTGTGGGATAAATTTTATGTAGACTGCCAGACTGGGCCGCCACCAGAAATTTTGGGGCCCCTAACTGAGCTCAGGGTCTGGGCACCTGGGGGCCCGCCTCCAAAACCGACCACAGAGACCGCCTCCAAATCCCGCCCACAGGAATACACTCACAGACACAAACACATTCACTGATGCAAAAGGACACAGATACACACACACACACAGATACATACTAACAGACACACATACTGATACGCATATAGGCATACATACTGACACACACATACTGAGACATACACACATATACAGACACATAGGCGTACATAGTGACAGACACATACTAACATACATACAGACACACATACTGATACGCATATAGGCATACATACTGACATACACATACTGAGACATACACACAGGCGTACATAGTGACAGACACATACTAACATACATACAGACACACATGCATAAGGACATACAGACACATTCATAATGACATGCAGACATACATACACTGACATTCATACACACATAATGACATGCATACAGGCATACAGACATGCATAGAGACATACATACATATAGACATACATACAGACATACATTCATACTGGCATACATACATTCATACAGACAGACAGACATTCATACAAACATAATGACAAGCATACAGCCTTGAGACATGCATACAGACATACATACATACAGACATACATTCATACTGGCAAACATACATTCATACAGACACTGACATCCATACATACACACATTCATAATGACATGCAGACACACATACACTGACATTCATACACACATAATGACATACATACATTCATACAGACAGACATCCATACATACAGACATAATGACATACATACACAGACATAGACATACATACAGATATAATGACATACATACACACAGACATAGACATACATACAGCCATACATTCACATACACACACTCAGCTCATTTTCCAGCCACCCTCCTGTCTCTTACCTTGTCTTTGCAAGAGAGTGGCTGGGGCTGATGGGACTGGGAGTCGGCTAGCTCTCCCTCTTCATTGCCGGGCGTGCGCTCCTCCCGCGTGGAGTGAGCTGGGAGGAAATGACCACTTCCTCCCAGCAGAACTTGCGCTGTGGCAGCATTTTTTTTTTAAATCCCCCATATCTTCAGGGGCCCGGTCAGCGCTGTGGCCGTGGTATTGCACGACCGGGCCCCTGAAGATATGGGGCCCATTGGATGGCTGGGCCACCCGATGGGCCCCATCAGTGTGCGGGCCCCGGTGGAACTGCACCGGCGGTGGTTCCGCCGCTACACATGGGGCCCGGGCCGCTATGACAACCGCTATGGTTGTCACCCCCTGATGGCGGCCCTGCTGCCAGACGTCAGGTACCAGCGGTATACTAGCTTTTTATGTGCTTCTATGTGAGAATAACATTGAGTCTGTCCCTTTAGAGCCGAAAGGGAGTTGGACCATTCTGTTTCGGTCCACAGTGTCCCTGTCTCAATTGCCCACTGGGCCACAAAGGAGGGTGTTGGGTTGGGAGTACTCTGGACGATATTCCTGTAACAGGGAGAGAGATATTCCTGTAACTGGGTCCACAGTAGGTCTCTCAATCTCCCTCCCCAGCAATTTCCATTTTCCATGTCTACCCTGTAATACCTTTTTTATTGGCCTAATGGAATTTTGTAATGACAAGCTTTCGGGAGAACCATCCTTTCTCAATTCTAAAGCATCTATCTATCTATCTATATATATATATATTCATTTGAAAGGAACATGTAGATCTCTCCATTCCTGATTCCAGGAATTACTGAAGGATTCTATGCTCATGACAATTTTACTTTAAGTGTACGTTTGAACAGTTATTATACTAAGATATGCTTTGCAATTTACCAGTGTTTTATACTTATTGAGCGCTGCAGGTAAGCATACACTAATGAGTCATTTATGGTAGGTAATCGCCCTGTATAACAATTTCAGAAAATCATTATCTTTAACCTGTTTGATACTTTGATTGCAAGATATGAGTGAAGTATTAAATAAGTCTCTGGCACCTATGATGTTAATAAAGAATTAGAAAAATGAATATGCAAGTGCTGCACTGGTTAAAAATACAATTCTGTAATGGTCTCTTCATTTAACCACTTGAATACCAGAAAGCTTAGCAATGCTCAGCAATCACATGCACACAAACGGTTAATATATACAATTACAGTTGTATTTCTGCAAGTCTCTTTAGTAGAGGTTATTTTTGTTCTGCTGGAAGCATTTAGTAAACCACAATCTCGGATTATGCCTTCCAGTATAGAAAACGTTAGTTACTTAATAGCCTTTACAATTATAGTTCAAAGCCAAACTCCCAACTTGCAATGCCACAAGTGCAATGAAATACCCAATACTGACTATGTCCAGAGGTAATGATCTCATATATAACAAAAAGAGAACTGCACTAATTGCAGCATTACAGTGTTAATTACTCAACCAGCTCTAGTTCATTAACTGGCATTCTTCTTGTTCATTATAGCAATGCAGAATACACAGCCCACACAACTGCATGAACATAAAAAACCTAACAGGGTTTGTAAGTCATTACAAGTATAGTTTACTAGAAGAAAGGTTCTCCATCATCTAAAATGAGATTTAAAGAACATTCTTAAAAAAAAAAAAAAAAAAAAAGAAGCATTTCTGAGTTTGATTAGCATGTCAATAGTTTGTCTTTGTGCTTTCCTCTATTTATCTGCGTGTTTCTGCTTACATGACTGTCTCTTTATTTCAGGGTATCTCTGTTATTTCTCTGCCTGTCTGCTTGCCTTCTTCTATCTCGTTCACTCTCTTTATTTACTTACCTCTCTACATGTCTGTCTGTCTATATCTGACTACTTGTATGTACCATCTCCATGTACCTCTCTACCTTCCTCTTTCTATTTCTGCCTGCCTCTCTCTGTCTGTCTCATGCCGCATCTTCTTTACTTTTTCCTCCCTTCTTTTCTCTCTGTCAGTCTGTCTGTCTCCCTTTCTCAGCATACCTGACAGTCTGTTCACATAAGAGATGATCTAAAACATCTCATGTTCCCTAAATTCCCTGGTAAAAACACCTAAGTGGCGTTATTTTGTTGAGTAGTGAGAAAACAAGCAGCCATGAGATGTCTTTTAAAAGCCCCAACATCAACACAATTGGAACTGGCAGTGCATTTGTCTTTTATGACTTTTCAATTGCTGCTAGAAGAAACTCTGATTGAAATAATTTGGTTTACTAAGAATGCAAGGCAGTACTCGTAAGTTGGGCTGAGCAGTGCATCCACCAGGGGTTATTCTTCATAATAGATCTGCACAAAATACAATTGTATCAACAATTCCCATTCACAATGGCTGGCCTCTTTCCACTGGTACGTTTTACAATAACTGAATAGAATTCTGGGCATGCCTAATCAATTAGCAAGAAAACATTTAACCATTTGTTGTTGAGAGAATGATGTAACTGTACTCGCTGTAACCAGGCCTCCTTAAAACTTTTATCGTATATATAAATGATTCCTCGTTAGTTGTATTGTACTAATAAGTGCACTTGGTATGGTATAATATAGTACTTTCATTCACCAGTGTGCAGGGCAAAGCACGAATAGGGAGCAAATGGAGATATATCTTCGTGCTTTCTGTTGCGGGATCACATGAAGATTAAGATGTTCGAGTTTAGATAGCACTGAGATCCCCTTACACAGGTGACAATGCTTAGAACATTTGACAGATAAAATATAAGATTATGTGCCGTTATGGAGTTGGGACATTCTGCTGCATGTTAGCAGAATTTGCTCTGTGTTTCTAACCCTCTTTTTATTCATAAATCCAGGAACTGTGGACAATTGAGTGCAGCTTTTAGACAAAAATATCTGCACTAAAGGTACAGGATTATTGCCTACTTTTACAGTTATTTTACTCTAAAACACACAAATCTTTTAAATCTAAAATTCTATCAATATCTCCATTTTGTGAATACCATACTTAAACTCATTTTAGTGTCCTTTTTACTGAGAGCTGAGTGACAGACCGATACAATTTGGTTGTGAACATGTGGCTGTTTTGACCAAATGTAACCTATTTAGCTGTTCATGAATATTCACAAAATTTGCTCTACTATTGCTGTTTGATTACCTAATAAAACTGGCAACATCTCTATGTATGCACTGACAAATGAGTTGCAGCTAAATTTAATTATTTTAAATAATTTCCCCTAATCAAGTCACCCTCATATAACCCCAAAACTCCATATACAGTTGCAGGAAAAAGTATGTGAACCCTTTGGAATGATATGGATTTCTGCACAAATTGGTCATAAAATTTAATCTGATCATCATCTAAGTCACAACAATAGACAATCACAGTCTGCTTAAACTAATAACACACAAAGAATGAAATGTTGCCATGTTTTTATTGAACACACCATGTAAACATTCACAGTGCAGGTGGAAAAAGTATGTGAACCCCTAGACTAATGACATCTCCAAGAGCTAATTGGAGTGAGATGTCAGCCAACTGGAGTCCAATCAATGAGATGAGATTGGAGGTGTTGGTTACAGCTGCCCTGCCCTATAAAAAACACACACCAGTTCTAGGTTTGCTTTTCACAAGAAGCATTGCCTGATGTGAATGATGCCTCGCACAAAAGAGCTCTCAGAAGACCTACGATTAAGAATTGTTGACTTGCATAAAGCTGGAAATGGTTATAAAAGTATATCCAAAAGCCTTGCTATTCATCAGTCCACGGTAAGACTACTCTCCCTAGGAGTGGCCGTCCTGTAAAGATGACTGCAAGAGCACAGCGCAGACTGCTCAATGAGGTGAAGAAGAATCCTAGAGTGTCAGCTAAAGACTTACAAAAGTCACTGGCAAATGCTAACATCCCTGTTAGCGAATCTACAATACGTAAAACACTAAACAAGAATTGATTTCATGGGAGGATACCACAGAGGAAGCCACTGCTGTCCAAACAAAACATTGCTGCACGTTTACAGTTTGCACAAGAGCACCTAGATGTTCCACAGCAGTACTGGCAAAATATTCTGTGGACAGATGAAACCAAAGTTGAGTTGTTTGGAAGAAACACACAACACTATGTGTGGCGAAAAAAAGGCACAGCACACCAACATCAAAACCTCATCCCAACTGTGAAGTATGGTGGTGGAGGCATCATGATTTGGGGCTGCTTTGCTGTGTCATGGCCTGGATGGATTGCTATCATCGAAAGAAAAATGAATTCCCAAGTTTATCAAGACATTTTGCAGGCGAACTTAAGGCCATCTGTCTACCAGCTGAAGCTCAACAGAAGATGGGTGTTGCAACAGGACAATGACCCAAACATAGAAGTAACTCAACAATAGAATGGCTTAAACAGAAGAAAATACGCCTTCTGAAGTGGCCCAGCCAGAGTCCTGACCACAACCCGATTGAGATGCTGTGGCATGACCTCAAGAAAGCGATTCACTCCAGACATCCCAAAAATATTGCTGAACTGAAACAGTTCTGTAAAGAGGAATGGTCAAGAATTACTCTGTTGTGCACGTCTGATCTGCAACTACAGGAAACGTTTGGTTGAAGTTATTGCTGCCAAAGGAGGTTCAACAAGTTATTAAATCCAAGGGTTCACATACTTTTTCCACCTGCACTGTGAATGATTACATGGTGTGTTCAATAAAAATATGGCAACGTTTCATTCTTTGTGTGTTATTAGTTTAAGCAGACTGTGATTGTCTATTGTTGTGACTTAGATGATGATCAGATCACATTTTATGACCAATTTGTGCAGAAATCCATATCATTCCAAAGGGTTCACATACTTTTTCTTGCATCTGTACCTATAATATTAGTAAGTTAAAAATGTATTAAAAATAATATCAGGAAGTATTACTTTACTGAGAGGGTAGTGGATGCATGGAATAGCCTTCCAGCTGAAGTGGTAGAGGTTAACACAGTAAAGGAGTTTAAGCATGCGTGGGATAGGCATAAGGCTATCCTAACTATAAGATAAGGCCAGGGACTAATAGAAGTATTTAGAAAATTGGGCAGACTAGATGGTCTTATCTGCCGTCACATTCTATGTTTCTATGTCTCGGTCACCCCAACCCCATATTCTCCTAAATCCACTATTATCTAGCAGGGAGTTCTAGTTCAGATATACTTTATCTGAAAAATGTTTACATGAATTCCATTCGAAATACCAAGGACCCATTCAGCTCACTGCAGTTTCAGTTTGGTTGGTAGTGAATAAAATGATGCACAACTGGATTTTATCTGCGGACAGAAGTGAGTGAAGCCATTTAGTGAATAGATAACACACGTGTTCAAGTATGTATCTGTATAACTTGTGACATTTTATGGATAGTATTAATTAATTATACCAATACATTTTTCTGTTCTGAGTAGGATCAGTAAATATTTGTCTCTATTTAGGGGAGAAAGGGGAGCATGGGGAGCAAGGACCTGGTGGAAGCCCAGGAATTCCAGGAAGGGCAGGAGAAACAGGTAAATGATAATGAATGATACACAATTATGTTTGTATGTTTCTCATTTTGCTTCTCTTGTAATGAAACCATGCTCCTGTGACCTCCTTTCAAATTGATTCCATTGAAGGTGAACTATTCCCAATGGAGCTTTCTCGGATACATACCTTGTGCAGGCAGGCATACATTGAAAGTCATCTGTTTGATGTTCACGCAGACATGCTTTTGTTTTAAAAAAAAAATGCTGTTTAAATAATTGATTTAACACTTTATTCGCTGCAGGAGGTGTGTAGCACATTGACGCACTTGTTCCCTCGAGCAAGAAGGTGATAATATCACTTTTAGTATTCTCAATAACTACAAAGTAATCATAAAAACACAGATGCTTGTCGGGTATGCTGCTAAAATTGGTACTATTTAAATACACTTTAATTACGGCAAGCGCGTAGACGATGTACACCTGTCACCAGTGAACTAGTACAACATTTATATTATATTTGTGTTTGTTCCAAGCGTAACCTCCTAACTTGAATTAAATTGCCTTGGCTTGATTCATTAAATTTACCATAACCTTTTTCTTATGTATGAAATTGTTATTTTCTGTAGAGGTGTGATAAAAGCTAAGGAGCCTGATTTTAACCCTTTAATTAACAAGGTTAGACAAATCCTTTCTTATCATGACAGTCCGGATGTGACACAGTCCCGAAGAGCTTAATCAAATAATGCAATCTTATCTAGAGTAAACAATTCACTCTTCTACGAGTAAACAATCCACACTTGTAATCACAGGATATTAACGTCAATACGAAATAGAAAATATGTCATGAGTGACGCCAAAGCCTCAGTCATTTTACAATTTTCTTGTTATGCCTGCCCACTAATGTACTTTAAAGGTACCTATGAAAATGTCCATATATACTGAAGTAAAAGATAGTTTTGCATCCTACCTGGGGTAAAACAAATATTTGTTCTAATCATTTTTGATTATTTTTATATATTTTTAGGTGAAATAGGTGCAAAAGGTGAAAAAGGAAATCTTGGACTTGCTGGTGTTAAAGGACAGAAAGGAAACAAAGGAGATATTTGTGAAAATGGTACAAAAGGAGACAGAGGAGAAAAAGGGGAGCAAGGTTTTATAGGTGTAGATGGAGAAAAAGGAGACAAGGGTGAGAAAGGAGATATTGGTGATAAAGGGTATTCTGGAGATATTGGAGATAAAGGAGATATGGGAGAGAAAGGAGAAAGGGGATTAAAGGGGGATAAGGGGATTAAAGGTGACATGGGTTTTAATGGAATAAATGGTTTAGAAGGTGGACGTGGTGAAAAGGGAGAGCCAGGCATGAAAGGGGAGAAAGGAGAGTTGGGTCTCCCTGGTTTAACTGGTCCACCTGGACCTAAGGGAAATTATGGCAGCAAGGGAATTCGAGGAACACCTGGAAAAAAAGGATCGAGGGGATTAAAAGGATCAAAGGGTGATTCGCCAAAGCCTATAAGGTCTGCTTTTACTGTAGGTTTATCAAAGCCTTTCCCAGCACCTAATGCACCTGTAAAATTTGATAAAATATTGTACAATGAACAAGAAGAATACAACCCTTCTACAGGAAAGTTTAATTGTACCATATCTGGTACCTATGTGTTTGCATTCCATGTGACAGTTCGAGGTCGCCCAGCTCGTATCAGTATTGTTGCCCAAAATAAGAAAATTTTTAAAAGTCGTGAAACCCTATATGGTCAAGAAATAGACCAGGCCTCGGCCATGTTGGTGTTAAAATTAAATGTTGGGGATCAAGTCTGGATGGAAGTTTCGAGAGATTGGAATGGTATTTATGTCAGCAATGATGATGACAGCATTTTTACAGGATTTCTGTTGTACCCTGACGATCCTGTTGAGACTGAATTAGTCTGATAAAGAAAGTAAACCTTATTATATAGATTAGTTGTTATTTTTATATAACAACTCTAATTATATAGAAGGGACAGAAAAATGTAAAAGTAGAAATATTGTTGAAGTCAGTATTTTAAACAGTGGATGAGTCTAAAATTACTGATCATTACTAAAAAATGTTAATATAAGGCTTGTTTAAATCAGTATGTATGTACCATTTAAGATCTGCTAGACATTTATAACTTATTGCCAATATTTGTAATAATTCAATGCTTGACTCAAATGGAAGATTTTATATTAAATCAATGATTGCAGCAGGGGAGTAATCATGTAGATAGTAAAACTAGCTGTAATAGTTGCTTAATATTGTGTACAACAAAAATCACTAATAAACATGGTTTATGGAAGAATGAATACACCTGTCACCTATTAATGTTTTAGTAGTTATGGTTGTGTAACAAGTTATAATATGTTATTAGTGAGAAAACTACCCTCACTTACAAGAATGGTAAAATATGTGTAGCTTGATTCTTACACTGGATGCAATTAGAAATATAAAATATAGAACAGTAATTAAGAGACTTCAAAACAGATTCAATGTGCACTTTTAGAGGTAATAATTAAAGGGCAGTTGGAGGAAATAAAAGTTCATACAACATCTTTGCAGCTATGTTGAACATCAGTCCCAGTCAAATAAATGAGACTTGTGCCGTATACAGATATTTTCATAAGAACTTGCCCTTCATGAAGCTTCCTTAAGCATCTCATCAGTAGTAAGTAGTAATATATAATTATTTTTGTTAATTAATTTGCTTGTTGCCTTTTCATAAAAAAAGAAGCCAAAAGTTTCTGTGCTTTGTAATAAAATATATAAGGCTACGATGGCCAGTGAGCAATGGATGTGACAATTTTCTACTCAATTTTTCAAGACCAACTGATAAAAGATGCAGTCTTGAAATCCCATGGGAAGAAATGAAACATGTGATGCCTTAGGATGCACATGAAATGATTCATTGTCTAATCTAAGAACGTTGTAAATACAGCAATGATTCATTGCTTTAATATTTCTTATTGGCAAGGGTCACCTTTGAGGACACATCCATAGAAGGACCTATGTGGACTCAAAGATAATGTAAAACAACAGTCACACGTAATTATCCAGTTGCTAAGGTATAGCTATGCATAAAAAACACAAGCCAACTTCTAACCTACCTTGAAATCTCATGTTCGTTATCAGATGTTACAAGTGTGCCATTAATTCTTTGAAAAATAAAAAGCAATTGATTTGCTGTCTGTTTGTATCTGATGTTCTAGTCTTGTATTTATCAACTGAACTTTATCAAAAGTTTTCTCATGGTGATGTGGATGCTTGCTAAGCAGTACAGTCATGCTGCTGGCTTTGAACCTACTGTCCAAACGTATAAAGTACATAGAAAGTCAAATTATAGCACGCTGCACCATGTACGGCACCAATGCTCCACAGTAATTCTGGGCTTGCAATTGTTGATTTGATGATATGTGATCACTAAAATATTTTAAAATAGTTTACTGAATGAATGCTATGTGCCTGTGCCTACTTTGTATATTTTATTTATGATAAAAATACAGACCACCCAAAACATTGCATTGTTGCTGGATTGGGATTTAGTTATGAAGTTGTCTGTTTTAGTGATCTTTTAATTGCACTGCAAATCTAAAAGTTTAAATTCAAATCACAATGCATCTGAGCTGCCATCACAAATCCCTTAAAAACAATGGGTTGGCCACCTACTTAGATACAGACGCATCCCCACATACACAGCTACACACACTTATACTGCCACATTCATATACTCTTCCAGAATGCACACCAATAAACACTGTGGGCACACATACACAATGTCCGTAACATCACACACATGGTTACATACGCATATAGATGCACAATATCAGAAACACAAACTGTCAGACACACACAGACACAGTCAGACACGCATAGGCACATATGTAAAAACACACACTGTCAGACATACAGGCATGTATACACAGCCAAACACACTCACACACACACTGTAACATATAGACTCTAGGTACCATGACTATTTTAAATCAGTGAAGTGGTCATGGTGCTTGGGGTAACTCTTTAAGTCAGGGCTGGCTAAAACATAGATCCCTAGTTGATAAGGCTGGCAAAGCATCAATGGAGTTCTACATTAGTTACAAATTTCCATTTGGGGATTGCTGGTCTCAGATATTGAAATCTCAGATGTGATACATGAAGATTATCTTGTTCACTCAGAACAGAATGCTTTATTCAGGAATTTAAAATGAAACCGTTATGTATAATTATGTGAGTTAAAATGATTTTTTTCAAGATCTTGTGACCTAATTAGATCTAGTTGAATTAGGCCTCATTTTAATAATTTGGGATAAACCTTTCAGAAGTTAAAATCAAGTAGTGAGAATTGATCACGAGAAAATACTCTTGCAAACAGCTGATTTACATGCTCTAATTGATTGTGAAATACATAGAGAACAGCCAGAAGGTTTTGAGGTGAAATCCAAACAGAATGAAAAACTACTACTCAAGTTGAGCTAAACATTATATGGTTTGAAGCACTTGGGATGAAAGTGGAACAAGTTAATACATGACCTTTTACGTGAAAATGAGTTTAAACAGAATCCTGCAGACCACTGTGTGTAAAACAAACAGTATGGAAATGAAAAAGTGATACTGAAAATATGGGTAGATGATCTGTTATAGGTGCCAATAGTGAAACAATACTTAAGGATGTAAAATAAATGCTTACAGCCAAATTCAAGATGGAAGAATCAAACATTTTCCCCAGGCAATGACTTTGAACAAAGAGTCGGTCTAGGCAAGATGAACCAAATGAGATACAAATCAAAGATTGTGGAAAAATGTTATTATGACAGATTAAAAAACAGCAGAACAACCTGTGGTCCCAGCTAAACATGTGATGAGATACTCAATGCATATCATTGACTATAACTTATTTTACAAGAGGTGTAATCAAGACTTATAGTATACAGTGATGCTGATTGGACCACTGAGGTGAATGATAGAAGACTTGATATTGCCTTTGTCTTATAGAGAAGAGTCAATTGATTACATTCTAGTCTAAGAAACAGCCTACAGTAGCTTTGTCCTCGTGTGACGTTGAGCACATGGCTTAAGCTGCGACCACACAAGAAAGTTTATACTTAATGCAGTTGCCAAGGGGAATGGACAATCAATGTCAATATGCACCAGTACAAGTCTTTGATGACAATCAGGAGGTAATAGATCTTCCAAGGAATCCAGTTTCTTATCAAAGATGCAAGCATATTTATATGAAATATCACTTTATATGACTAGTGATCAAAAGAGATGTGATGGTTCTTAATTAATGCCCAGTCGACAGGATGATAGCAGATATCGTGACTAAGCCAGCAACAAAATTAAAATTAGAAAAGTTCTTTAGTTATTTATTTGGAATGTAAATCTTTTCCAAGAAATTTTTTATTGTGAGCAACACATATGAAAGTAACTGGGGGATGTTGTAGATGTAATCCCAAGGTGACCTCAATGTATGCCCTTGATGGTGGTTCAATCAAGTTGTTGCCCTGCCTCTTCCCCAGCGTGGAGTGTGGAGCAATGGTGTGTGGGTGCTGTGTTCCTCAGTTATTGTGTGCACTTGCCAGTTATCCTAACCTCAGCATGCAGATTGCAACAAATATAAAAATATATTTATGTCCACTAAATGTGAAAAAAAAAAGAATACAAATGTACCTATGTTGATAAGTCACAGAATGTTTCCAAGGGATAGTTCAACCAGCCTCTAACTTGTAGCTAATTTCGCTAATGTGTCAGGATGTATATTTCCAGTAATCACAATTCCCTATTAGAATGTGACATAAAAACAAAATAATATTTAAATACTCAAAAACCTATACCATAATACAAAAATTCTAAATGCATTCATGGAACAAATATTGAAGGTAATGTAAACACCTTCAACAGCATATAATAGTTGTATATCAGTCTGCTTTTCTTAAAATATTTGGTTGTCTAAACAAAGTAGGCAAATATGATAAATGTCGGAGTTACAATAATGATCACCCAAGCAGATATTAAAGCTCAGAAAACTAAAACCAAAATACAAAAGTGTAATAATAAACAAGTAATGTTATACATGGTTGGTTCCAGGGTCAAAACGAGTGAAATAGGTGGAAGTAAAAATTATTATGCACATAGTTTTTTACAGAATGACTATAAAAATAATTTATAGTAACGAAGCGAGGTATGACAGATGTGAAAAAAAAAATAAAGTGAAATTTATGGGGTCTGTTTAGGAACCAGTGATTTCACACTAAAATAGTTGAAAAATAAAATCTGCTCTATTAAACTGAAGTTGTATTCTATTTTAGCTATTCAGCCCATAATTTTACATGGTTTAATGCATCATAGATCACTGTTTAACTGTTTAATAATGTATAGAAAATGTTTTGTACTGCTAATAAAGCTTTCTTCAGTATGGCTTGTGAAAACTTCACTTCATTTTTCTTTTCTCGTTTTTCCGGTAAATAGAGGAATGTGCAAGCATGAAATACCACGAGCACTATCTTTTAACTTACTAAACCATGGTAAATCAATTGCACTAGAGTATCCGGGGCATACATTTGTCACCTGAGGTGTAGAGAGATGTGTTGGAGGTGAACCATGTAAATCCAAGACTGTCATTTTTAAATGTACCGCCCTAGGCTCTAGGCCAGACGTCTCCACTGTGTCTGCACTGTGATTGTCAGTTTCAAACATTTTAGATTGGCTTGTTAGACAAATCGGCAGCACTTTAGAAATAACTCAAACAGTTTTGTTTTCATTCTGTAAGAGCAAATTGGACATATCACACACTGTAAATTGTAAAACATTTTTATTGTTCTCTTTTCTAACCTGTGGATTGAATGTGTCACTGTTGTTTCCTAACATCTTATCTGTGAAATGTTTCCGTTTGATAGTCAGTCTCATCATGAACGTTCATTTCTCTGACTTTTATTTCCGATCTAAACTCCATTATACACATTCTTATCTGACAGCTAGGGGACTAAAAATAAACCAACAAAAAAAACTCAACAACAATGCCATATTTCTACAGCGATGATCACCTAAGTTAGGGATTTCAGCTCAACATTCACGTATAAAGCAGACAATGTTGAAGGTCAACAAAACACTAATTTCTGTCTAAACAGCCTGACAACTTATATGCCACTAATTTGGCATTTTTACTCCACTTTTTTTTTTTTTTTTTTTTAACAATCAGTTGACAAAACAAATAATATAATTTGTTTTGTGTGTTTTCTTATTCGCCAGAGTGGTACAATACTAGAGTTCAAGACAACAATCTGAACAGCATGCTTTTTTTTATACTATAAATGCTGCTTTTAATTTACACTACACAGAACATCTTAGTATTCATTTATGTTTTTCTTAACAGCAATTATATAAACTATTCTTATTCTTAATTAAAGTTATGCCACTCTTGAAAATTGTTGATCACCACTGTGAATAATATTAGGAATATGCCATAACTTTACAGAAATGGTATTTGGATATTTGTTTTAAAAGGAATAAAGCAAGTTGGTTTTGAAGTTATCACAAATCATTTTAGTTAATAGAATTTAAGTAATTATGGTGCTTGGACTAACCCTTTGAAAAGACACTTTATGCACTTCACTTTACAGGGGATATGCACAGCTAATCAATGTCATTTAAATATTGATAAAATTGATAATGCTTAAATATGCTTGATATGTGAAAGTGAAACTTCTACATTCATATTTATGGTGAATAGGGCTGGTTCAAAAATCCCAGCTTTGGCCAAACCACATGAAAAAAAATAATTTGGATAATTTGGAGATATAATCTGTTGTTTAATAGAACCATAACCTCTAAATTTTATTTGAAAAACAATCTCTGTATACCTAAGCTCCCTCCTTCGATCCATAGCATGCATTTAATGGAAGATGCTTAAAAAATTAGAGCACATGTCATGGAGGTACCCACTTTGTTTAAGAAGCTAAGTAAGATCAAGAGTCACTGCATATCCTGCATATTAAAGGAACACTATAGGGTCAGGAACACAAACGTATTCCTGACCCTATAGTGCTAAACCCACCATTAAGGCGGCACCCAGTGCCGTTAAAAGCATGGAAAACTCACCTTATTTCCAGCGCCGTGCAGGTCTGCTGGCACTGGCCCCGCCCCCTTGGTGCCATCATCAGAATAGTTGATTTTTA